TAGATGTCTTAGGTCTTATCCACTGGGATTTGGTGCAGTGTGACCTGTTGTTTAATTTTCAGGTGCTCTTTCATTGGGTTGCTACCCACCATTAGAGGGAAACTTATACCGGAAACTTCTACTGGTTCCTTCTTATTTGTCTGAGATTGAAATGCTTTTAGCTATCGAAATATTTCTGGTGTCTAATGCTAGCAGTATTCAAAGCCCGGGGACTTCCACACAGGTGCTACAAATCGTTTTGAAAAGGTGAGTGAATAGAACCCCAGCCACATTCTGAACATAGTGTGGCTCCACACCTGCTCTGTAATGCAGCGTGTGTACACTATTTCATTTATACTCTGTATATATGTATTATAAACTTGGCTACCATTTAAACTGAGAAAAACAAGACCGACTTGAAGCTTAAAATAAGTTAAGGGGTTAGGGATGAACTTGAGTGGTAGCGTGTGTAGGTGCGTGAGAACCAAACAAATAAATAGATGTGAATACATGTCATAAGATACGGATCTTCTCTAAGAACCAACCTTTCCTGTGTTAAAAAGTGTGGCCCCTTAAAGGGTCTTTACGTAAATTTTAGCTATGAATCTTTTCTTTATTCCTTACAGGTCCAGAATGACACAATCTGGCATAAATGTCATGTCAGTGTGGACACTCACACAACTCTTATCTCTGAGAAATTCTTCAGTTTTTCAGCTGTAGAATCTCAGTAATTTTTAAATGTAAAGTTTACTGTAAAACAAGTATTTTAAAAATAAAAAGGCTATTTTTGAGTGCCACCTTCTCCCAGAATGAGTGATCCAAGAGAGAGAAGACTAGGAGAAAGCAGAGTGCCTTTTGTGACTATCAGGCAAAGACTGTGAAGGTCTGAGATTTTACCCATTTGCAAGTTGGCCTGCCACAGGTCAATGTGTGCTAGCATAAGACACAAGGCTCCTTCCTGTGTTGGAGCAGGGTGCTTTCTTGCTATGGCACAGCAAACAGCCAGATGGTCTGCTTATCAGCATGATTCACTCTCATGGCAGATTGCTCCCTGACATCTCACAGTCAGAGCTGCTGTGGGTGCTTTCTCAGTTTGAGACGGGAGTCATGTGGTGTAGCCCCACTTGTCTGCTTGTTTGTTTCAAGTCAGGGTTTCTCTGTGTGGCCCTGACTGACCTGGAACTCGCTCTGTAGACCAGGCTGGCCTCGAACTCAGAGATCCGCCTGCCTCTGCCTCCAGAGTGTTGGGCTCAAAGGTGTGTGCCACCACTGCCCGGCTGAATAGCCCCTGTTTAACAGGAGGAAAACATTTTACTTGCACTTTTTTTAAAAGCCCATTGAAACTACCCTTTTTTTTTATAGCTCTATCTTTAGTAGGGGTTGGGCTTCTTTGACACTGTACAGTGTGTGGCATGAAGTGTCTAGGTTTTATTCTTAAAAGGATTTGATTTTCTTCTTGCGTCCCATTTCCCACACATGCAGCCTCTGTATTCATTGTTGAATGTGAGAGTAGTTCTTGTCCTAGTCCATGACCAGTGACATACCTAGATCTTTGATTTTATCAAGGCCAATATATTTTGTCTTGCTGGTGTACTGAGCCCTGCCTTAAGGTGTTAACCTCTATAGAATTTTATTCACTTTTAAACATTGAGAAAATACCACATACTCAGTTTTTCAGTCTGTCAGACTCTAAAGTGCCTCGTTTAATTTAGAAGCCCCAGAAGGCACTTGGATACTTGTGGCAATATATTGTTTATGATTTATTAAAGCCACTGGAAATCTAAATAGCAAAGCAGCCACAATAGTTAGCTATAGAAGCTAGGTGATGGTGGCCCACACCTTTAATCCCAGGACTCAGGATTAAGAGGTAGACCAATCTCTGTTAGCTCAAGGCCACCATGGCATGGCCTACACAAGAATGAAGAGTAACAGAACTCATGCCTTTGATCCCAATACCTGGGATCACACACCTTTAATCCCAGCTCTAGGGAGATGGAAACAGGAGTGATAGGGTAGAGAAAGGAATATGAGGAGGAGACAGGAATTAAGAGTCCTTTGTCCCTGAGGATTTGTGGGGACTGGATTGCCATTTCAGCTGGGTAGAGGTAAGATCTACTACTGGCTTGGCTGCTTTGTTTCTCTGATCTTCAGCTTGAATCTTGAACCCCAATATCAGTCTCTGGGTCTTTTATTTTTCCTGTTACAGATACTGCTTCCTTTTTTGAAGTGCAGGCCTTATTTAGGTCACCCAGTGGCCCACTGGTGTTAATTTATGTAGAACCAGTCTCAGAACTCAAGAACTCACTGACCCCCAGGGTACCAAGAGCAAGACACAATAAGCAAGAAAAACATGAGGTGTCATATTTTAAATATTTTTGGCCATTTCCTTTCTCCAGAAGAAAAGCTTCCATAAATTAAGAATCTCATGCCAGTGAACACAGTCTCAGTTGACGGCAGGTGGAGCTTGAGAAAATTATAACACTTAATGAAGTACCCAGGTCAGGACCAAAGAAAACATACAGCTCAACAGTGTGTTACTGTTAACTGCATATTAAGTACTTGCTTGAAACTAGAAATAACTAATACCAAAAGAAAACTAATGTGATTATTAATCATTTAAGATGTATTGTACTTAATACTAACTTGTACAGCTTAACATTTATAGTTATTAAATTTGTGAGTGCATACATATAGGTAACTAGCTGTATTCCAGATCAGTGTTTTCTCAAATTGGCCTTTGCTACTGGGTCCTAATATAAAATGCCTCTCATACTGCAAGCCATGATCTAAAAAGCTACAGAGTCAACTGCTAAAAGATACGATGATAGTTTGGAACCAACAAATATAAATGACTCTCCTACAGAAGCCACACTGCTTTTTTTTGTTGTTTTTGAGAATTTCTGCCTTTGTGTTCACTTTACAGATGTGAAGAAAGCAAATCCCGAAGCAAGGATGACTATCAAGCTGCAGTAGAGAGATTGATCCTGGCTGCTCGCATATCAGACCCCAAGCTCTTCATTAAGCACATGACGGTCAATATTAACAAGGAGCAGGTGTATAGCCTGGAGCACTGCTCTGCCCTGAAATGGCTGAAGGAGAATATGAAGTGGGCTGGAAAGGTTTGGCTTTTCACTAACCATTAGTTAATAAACATGTTGTTGTTGTTTTTTAAGTTCAAGTAATCATTGTTGATAATAAAAGATGATAAAAATAGTTCTCATTGTATTCAGCATTTGTATCTTGTTGACACTAGAAGTTATCAAATAGTTTTCAAGCAATAAAAAATTTTCATTTGCTTTATTAACAAAAGTGATTTTTAAAATTTCTTTTTTACTTAAATTTAGAAGGACTTAAGTATGGTAAATTCCTTTTTAATAATGTAATTCAAAGAGTGAAGAGCCATACACTGAATGCTGTGCAACACTTAAGAGGGGTACCACTTTGCTGTAGTCAGGGATACTACTCCTGGAATCAAACACCGTGACCAAAAGCAACTTGGGGATAAAAGGTTTATGTGGCTTATGCTCCCACATCGTAGTCCATCATTGAAGGAAGTCAGGGCAGGGACTCAAAAGCAGGAACCTGGAGGCAGGAGCTGATGCAGAGGCCTTGAACGGGAGCTGCTCACTGGCTTGCAAACCTATGGCTTGCTCCGCCTGTTTTCTCTGGGAACCCAGGGACTACCAGCCCAGGGGTGGCCCCCACCCACAATGGGCTGAGCCTTCCCCCCATCAATCGCTAATTTTAAAAAAAAGCTCTACAGTCAGATCTTATGGAGGCATTTGCTCAGTTGAGAGTCCCTCTAGTGAGCATAGATTTACAACACTAAAATTCATAGCATTATACTAGACGTTTAAGTTACCCTCAACAGCTTCCTTCTAATGTCTATGATTCTATATTATTGTGCGTGTGTGATGAGGGAGGGGAGTCTGTTCTTTTCCTTCCACCCTTATCTGGCGATCACGAGGTAGTTGGGCTTGTGGATCTGACAGCAAACGCCTCCGTCCACTGAGCACCCTAACCAGCACAGCATTGTAGGGTTTTTGACAATGTCTAACTGATGTGTGTAGTAAGTTAGACTTTGCTAAAGAAAATATTAAACAAATATGCCAAAGGTTAAATATCTATCAAGGATTGTCCCAAAGCACTAGGAAGTCGCCTTCAGGATCTGCAGCCTATTCTCTTTAGTGAGATCCTCCTTAATACAGTAAACCACAATTTCCTGTCTTTAAGAAGCTCTGAAGGGGTCATAAGTGGACAAGCGATGAGCAGGGGGTGGGGGGGACAACGTATTTAAAGGAGTTCTCAAAATAGGAAAGGGCAGTGTCCTTAAGCCTACAGTCTCACAGAGCAGGAGAATTAAGTCAGGAGTGAACTGCCTCAGAGTCTCGGGGAAATTCGGGTGGGCAACCTCTAACCACGCTCCTACAGAGGGCAATGCCCGCAAGGCAGCGCGGAGAGAAGGCAGGGGCTGGGCTCGGCGCCGGGAAAGCGCGGGCTTTTTGCCTGACAGCCGAGCGGAGAGGCAGCAGTAGCGAAAAGAGCAGTTACTGTCCCATCTCTGGCAGTTCTGGCCATCAGAGTCGCGACCTAAGAGCGTAGAAAGCCCGTGCTGACTGAGAACACCTAACATTTAAAAGTGGCCTGGCAGCGAGGCGTGGTGGCTGAGGCGGGAGAAGCGCGGGGTGCCGGGGGGAGACACCGTCTCAAGTGACGGCGAGCAAATCCAGATAAAGCCTGAGACAAGGTGGAGCAGGCAAACCCGAGAGGATCGGGAGCCCTCGGACTCAGCCGCTTCTGCGAAGCAGAACGAAACCGCCAACGGCCGCTCAACGGGGACCCGGGCCAGGGAGCTGCGCGTGCGCGCATTCGCCCCGCCCCCGGCCCCGGCCCCGCCTCTCTCCTTGCTCCGCCCGCCAATCATCTTCCTCCCTCAGGCCGTCGGCGCAAGATTGCAGGCTTGTGTCTCTCGTCGGAGCCCCGCACGTAGCGTTGCGGGGTAAGGACGCGGACCGGAGCGGCTTTGAAACGGGGAGGGACGGAGGGAGGTCCCCGAAAGCCGAAGCCCCAGCTGAGAGCCGCCGGCCGGCCGTGCGCAGGCGTGGTAGGAGTCAGGCCGGCCCGCCGTAGCCAATGAGCGTGGGTCCTGCGGGCTCAGGGTGACCCGGGCCTGTGCTGCTCGCAGGCTTGCCTGGAGCTCCCTGCTCAGCACGAGCTGACCACAGAGTCCACACTTGCCCAGAGCCTCGAGCCGTGAGTGCCTGGGGCGTGGACGAGGCCTCCAGGTGGGATCCGTGTTGAGGAGGCTGCTGGGAGAACCTTGAGGCAGGTGGGGCCCCGGGAAGAGGAGGAGGAGCTCTACCCCAAGTTGTGGGCCAAGTTGCAGGCCCACCAATTCACCTCTGGACCCGAAATGGCTAAGGAGACTCCCTGAGGGGGAGGTAGCGAGGGGAGCCCTTGGGGAGCCACTGAAGAGCTTGACGACTCTGCTAATTCAAGAAGTCTGTGCCGTGTGTGTGTGTGTGTGTGTGTGTGTGTGTGTGTGTGTGTGTGTGTGTGTAGTTTATCAGTGTGGGACTCGTACTGTTTTGTTTTAAAGAAGGTATCAAAAGTATGGTTGGTTGCTTGGCTGGCTGGCTCGCTGGCTGGTTGCTTGGTTGGCTGAAGCATTTATCTAAGACGGCCCTTACGGAAAAGGAACTGGAGATGCCCGATATCCCTTTGTTTAGTGCTGATGAAGGGATTTTTAAGCTCGGGGAAATTGGAATGCTGGAGGGGGCACGCTGTGAATAAACCAAGTCCTCCGTAATGGGAAGGCCCGAAAGACACCGACACTAACCCTGTAGGATGCAGACAGTGTGAGGGGCAACAGCACATTTGAGGAGCTTTGCCATAACACTTTTTCTTGTGCCAGATCTTAGGGTTGGAGACCAAAAACCCAACTGGATGAATTAAATTCACTGGGTTTCATTGGACCGTGGAGCAGCATCAAGGCCTCTGTATAGATAGGTGAGGCTGGGCCAGAAGAGCCTGTATCCTCCTTTTAAATGAATCGTTTCCCACTGTAGTGTTCTTTTTCCTGTGCCTCTGACCTTCAAGAAGCAATTATGACTTAACTCTCCAGCAAGAGCTGTAAAAAGGAAGCTTTCGATCTTCTTGGTACTTTTTACCCCACACTAAAAGCAGTAGGGAAAAAAAAAAATATGTCTGCTCTCTGGGTGAGCGGGTACATGCTTTTATTCCCAGCACTCCAGAGGCAGAAGTAGGCGAATCTCTAAGAGTTGGGTGCTAGCCTGGTCTACACAGTGAGATCCTGTCTACAAAAACAAAAACAGTCAAGCAGTGTGGTGCACACCTTTAATCCCAGCACTCGGGAGGCAGAGGCAGGCTGATTGATCTCCGTGAGTTCAAAGGCAGCCTGGTCTACAGAGGTAGTTCCGGGACAGCCAGGGCTATTACACAGAGAGACCCTGTCTCAAAGAGACAGAGAGAGAGATGCATGGTTTTATCACTACTTGAGAGAACAAATTTCATCTAATACCCTACGAGATAGTTACAAAGCATAGTTAGCATTCTACGAGAGAGAGAGAGAGAGTAGTGTGAAGTTAGCTTAGTTACAATAAATTACTTTCCAACACTAATTGTGCCAGGAGACCAAAGCTCAATCTTTGAAGACCTCTTCTTGACAATTTCTGTGCTTGTCAAAAATAATGGCCAGAGGCAGGCGGATCTACATAGCAAGTTCCAGGCCACCCTAGACTACATAGAGAGTTGCAGACCTCGGGGAGGAAGGGGGAAAAGGAGATGGAACAGAAGGTAACATCACTATTAAGCAGATTCAGACACTCGATTAACCTGGTTTGTAATGCATTTGATCCTCCCACAGCTACCTTCTGTCCAGCTACCTTCTGACCGTTTCCTGGGGACAAGGCTTTCCCGGGTGTCCTCCCGCTGCTGCAGGGTAGCCCCAGGAAGTCTCCCGTTACTGTACAAGTCTGAGTCTCTGCATTTGATTTTCTGTTTTGTTTTATGGTTATCTGCTGGTGTCTGTGTCCCCTTTCTCCGCCCCTCCTTCCTGCACTGTTGGTTTAGTGAAAACAGCAAATGTCTTCATGCTTTTTTAGTGCTTTGCCCTGGACCTGACACAGTAGTGAGTAAATGCCTGTCGGTAAACTGGCGAGCTAAGGAACCAGTTAGATGCTGGTTAGATAGGGAGTGAGTGTCTTTAGTTGCTCAGTAGCATGCCTTAGGCTTTCTCTGGATGGAAGGGGAATATTGACAGAAGTCATGAGAATCTGTCTGAAGACAGACTCCTGTGACTGTGGTAGCAAGTGTCACTGGCCTCCCGCAGCACCCACGCCATGCCTGAAATGGTGTGTCTTCAATTCGCTGTGTAGCTGTCGGCAGCAGTAGGAGAGACCAGACTCCCCCTTTGCAGCTTGCTGCCCGTACAGGCTGACTTCTCTCAGAGTTTTTACTCAGCTGAAGCTAAGACCTTGATTTACACTGCAGAAAAAGGAATTTCAGGGTAATACTGCGAAGACAGGTTAGAGCATAGTGAAAGATTTCCATATGTATTTAAGGGTGTTTTCATATAGATATAAGAGAAAACTTCTCCCCGAAAAGGTAATAATAATAGGAAGTTCATATTATGTATCAAATATGAATGGCCATGGCCTGGGAAGATAGATTCATTTCTCCCGGAATAATACATTCCGATGTAGAAGCAGGTACAAGGACTTGTAGTCATAGAACAAAAGAAAGCCATACATAGCTGGTGTCACTATCTGAGAAGGTTGTAGAATCTTCAGGAGGTTAGGGCCTTGGGAGAAGCACATCACCAGCAGCAGCCGTGAGATTTCTGTAGTCCATCCCCCACATCCTGTTCCCTTTCTGATCCCTCCTGCCACCCCACCTTCTCAGCCCAATGCTGCGTCTTACTTGCTGATGGGCTGTATCCTCTCCTGGAACTATGAGTCAAGATAAACTCTTCCTCCCTTATGTTACTTTTTTCACTGCATTTCATCACAGCAACAGAAAAATAACTAAAACATGTAGTTTATACATACGAAGTTAACACCTTAAGCGTTTCACTTAGAGGGATAGTAGCATAATGGTGTAATATCTCAAATTTAATCTCATTTCACCTGTTCAGTCCTTCTGTTTGCTTGTTAACCTGTTAGGCAATTAATGGATGCTTGGAAGTTGGCGTGCATATTCAGAAATGTTTTGCCACCTGAAGCCTTTGAGGAGGTAAGCTCTGTGGCCCACTCTGTATTTTCTTAGGGGAAGGTCTGTTGTGTGTTGATAATTTCACCTTGTTTTTCAGATCTCAAAACTGTCTCATGGTTTTAGGCAGGAACAACAACAAAAAAAGAAAGAGAAAATTCATATGAGCAGCCAAATTGTCTAAGACTCTGTACAGAGCAGGAGATTGCAGATTCTATCATATTAGTTCTATATGAAAGATTAAAAGGAAAAAGCATATTAAACCACCTCAGCACAGTATTATGTTCCCTAACTGTAGAGCACATAGCTGGATGTTTTAGAGTTAAAAGAGAATGACTCTCACAAGAATACAAATTCCTCCTCCTGGTGCATAGTAGATATGCAGCAATTATATAAATAAGTACAGCTTGGATAGACAGAAGTATGAGAGCTTAGAAATCCAGGTAAAAGGAGAAGAATAAGGAAGGTCATTGGGGCTTGACTGAAGGTTGTATGAAGGGATGGGTGAGACAAAGTCTCAGACAGACCAGGCTGGCCTTAAATTCATCGTGCAGTCATGGCTAAGTCTTGAATGCCTGGTCCTTCCTCTCCCACCGCACTGGAATTACAGACTTTGTCCACCACACTCAGCTCACTCTCTATAAGGAGTATTTGAGAGTGATTTGGAAGGATTGATTAAGAAATAATTACTGAGGCTTCTAAATATAAGACTCCGAAATGGATCTTGATCATGTAGGAGCTGTGGAAGCCATCAGAAGTGTGTGTGTAAGGAATGCAGTGGCATGCAGCGTCGTTTGGGAGAAGACGGACAAGTAGGCTAGCTAGCAAGCCGCTTGAGTCTGGTAGCAGAGAAAGCATCTCTGCCCTTAACAGTGTAAAGCATCTCCACGAACTCAGCATACCTGGTAGATTACAAAGCCTGCCCAATGCTTAGAGACGTCTTCTATATAATGGGAAGTGTAAATTGCACTGTGGAATTGCTTCCCAAGAACCAAAAGTTATTTCCTCTGAGCTCAAAAATGTGGAATTATTTTCATTGAGGAAAATAAAAAGTACTTGAAGAACATTCCAGACAGCTTGGGACACAGTTTAAGAATGAGAATGTCAAGTTGTCTGAGTGGACTGTGTTTCCACTCTGGTAACAAGGAAACTAAAGGACATCTTCCTGTCTGTACTGAGATCCTCAGGATATTCTCCACTGCACAGGCATAAGTACATTAGTGTAAATTAAGGAAAAAAAACAACTTCGAGGAGAACGATGCCATCTGCAGTGATGGGGAAATCATCACTCCCTGCTGCCGATACTGCATTAGGGGAACTTAGAACCACTACTTAGAAACCAGACGAACTGCAGAAAATCGGTTTCTATATTGTTGCTGTGGACTTTCTCTGCTTGGGTCTTTTAGGTAGACTATCACCTGCATGCCAAATTTACAGAGAGTAATCCCTGTGTCTGACAGGTTCTGCCTGAGGAAGCTCCTCCCACACTGGCTTCACTACTCCCGAGCTCTGTCAGGAGCAGAGGCCGTCAATGCTTTGAGGCCCTTCTACTTTGCAGTTCATCCCGATTTCTTTGGACAGCACCCCAGGGAAAGGGTAAACACTTAACTCTTTAACTTGTTGTCTATCTGTCTAGTTGATTTACCTTTGACGCAACATAATGCAGAAAGTTCTGTAAGTTCAAATTATTCAGTCATGGTAATGTTTGACCTAGAAGCTATACTAACTTGAAAAATGATAAAGTTTCAAATTAATAAATTTAGCAGATATTTGTGATGTTAGAAATTGAAACCATTGTTTATTCAAAGCTGTCATTACTTATATAAGCAATAAAGTTGCCACATAAATTCGAGAGCATACTAATCATGTTTTCTGTACTAGCTTTTGGAGTAAAATGGAAGGCTTGAGAGAAAAGCCTTTCTTCACCTGACAGAATCTTGTAAGGATGCCCCAGGCAGGTTTTCAGGGCCTGGAGCTGTCCCTGCACACTGCAGGCTCCTGGCTTGTGCTGCCTCAGGGAGTACAAACTGACAAGAGTAAAGTTAGATAATGTTGTAGAGCTGAGAGCACTGGAGTTATCTCATTGGTCCCTCTGTTTTCATTAACACTGGTCCCTGATTTAACTGGGATGTTAAACCCCGGCCCCAGGCTCAAGTGAACATCCCTGCGTGGTAGCACATGGCTGCACATCATCACTCCTGGGGATGAGGACTTGGCTGTGAGTCTGTACTGTGGAGCAGCCAAGGCTCACCCTCTGCCTTGTGTGCCTATGCACTGCCAGCCACCCTACTGTGGAACCCTCGCCTAAGTATAACAGCCTTTCTGAGCTCTGTGAATCCTAGCAGGCCGCTGACCTGACGGTGGCCTTGGGGACTCTCACTCACGGGTGTGCAGGTCTGATCATCTGTGTCTTCCCTTAGTGTGCTCTGTCTGAGCACTTACTTACTCTCTGCCTAGGCTCTGTGCTCACTGCTCCCTCCGCTTGGACTGTCCCAGACACGGCTTACCTCTTCCTCTCAGTGAACCTCTCCCAGGCTACTTTCCTTTCCAGTGTTTCCTCCTCTTACCTATCAGTATTTTCTCTGTTTCTGTTTTCCTTCCCATGTGCCCTATCTTATTTATGAGGTCTATTGTTTATCTCCTGCCATCAGTGAAATGCAGGCTCCATGAAGGCTTCTAACTCAACCGACAACCATTACCCACTCAGCTTAGACTCTTCCTTGGCTCACCAAAAACTTGCCCCTCTGCTGAGGACAGACTCAAGCTCCAAGTGCTTATAGTGACCTACTCCAAGTGCAGGATTTCACACTGTTACCCACTGGTGTGGTTCTTTTCCTTTTAATACTCTTAAAGTATGTGATACTAATAGATTACTCACAGCTACATATAAAGTTCACTTAAAAATCTCCGTCTGGTCCCTATTTCCTTTACCCTGTTCCTGTTCACTTCTTACAGATTTTTGTCTTTATTGACTTCTGAGTTCCATTGTTTCTTGGGACAAAAATGAAAACATCAAAAGTAACTTTGAAGATTTCACTTTTATTTTGGGTAGAGTTTGGTATTGGTTTTGAGGCAGGTGTCACTATGTGGCTCAGGCTACCCTCAAACTCAAGACAACCCTTCTCCTGCCTTAGCTTCCCAAATAAGGGGAGTATTGGTTTGTGGCACCAAGATCTGAGTGTCTCACTGTGTAACTCAAGTTGACTTCAGACTTGCTATGAATCCCAGCGTGACTGAAACCAACAATTAATTGCCTTGCCTCAAACTCCCAACGACTGGAATTAGATGTGAGGGTAATCTCACTGTGACATCTGTCACACCATAGGTGATCTGGTGGGTTGGCCAGGTGTCCCCTTTCCCTCCGTTCCACTTTGTGCACATCCCTCCCAAAGCTTGGTGCTTGCTTTGAAAGGAAGACTTTATCTGATCCAGGTGGACCATTCTGCGGTCAAGTGTACCTGTGCTGGTAGCTGTGCTCAACTACAAGAACCTCCAACTCTTGAGCTCTCAAGGTCCAGCTGCTGGTATTTTAGGAGGGCATCCCTGCATGCAGCAAGATTTAATGTCACAGTGGCAGGATTGTACCCAACCTGCTTAGGGATTCTCCAGACCAAGCATGTCATATAATAAGTTCTAGAAACAAAATGCAAAACGATTCCTACTCTCAAAACATTCTGTTAAGGAAGAGAGATTTAAATAATCAAAAGCAGTTGTTATTGCCAGTTATACACACCTTTAATCCCAGAGGGGCTTCATAGTGAGACCTTGTCTCAAAGACAACAATCGATAGACAGACAGACAGACAGACAGCAGTTGTTAATCCAGACTTAGGAATGTGCAGCTTTACAGCACTCTGGAAACTTGGGCAGAGAGGCCTCAAATTCAACTTCAAGACCATCCTAGGCTTAATAGAGACTTAAAAATAATAAGACCAGTGAGATGGCTCAGCTGCCAAGGTGATCAGCCTGAGTCTCTAGAATCCACATTGTGGAAGGCAGCTGTTCTCCGACCTCCACAGATATGCTGTAACGTGCATGAAACACATCCATGCATGTGTATACTTACACACACACACACACACCATATACACATACACACAAACGCACACCATATACACATACACACATATATATACACATATACACACATACATACACATACTCTCACACACAACAATTTTTTAATGAAATAAAAGAGGCAGTGATTGTTCATGCCATTCTGTTATCAACAGCATTTCTCCTTTCTTACATAACAATTGTTCTTGAAATTCCTCCATTCCTGTTGATCTATATCTTCCCTGTCACGCTTCTCTTCTTTTGGGGAAGTACTCCAGTAATCAAGAAGTTGCCACCAGACAGTAGTGGTACACGCCTTTAATCCTAGCATTCAAGAGGCAGAGGCAGGCGGATCTCTATGAGTTCAAGGCCAGCCTGGTCTACACAGCAAGTGCCTGGACAGGCTTCAAATCTACACAGAGAAACCAAAGGGGGAAAATGTTGGGGAAGTCCTGTGCATTTGTCAATAAAGCACTGTCTGGCCAATAGGGAATCTAGATAGGTGGGACTAGGAGTCCAGAAGGACTTTGGGTAGGAGAAACACAAGGAGAGTCGAAATGTAACGCCATGGGGTAGGAAGCCCGGAACTATTCTCCAGTAAGAGAAATACTTAGATTAACAATTATGGGGTAATTACTTAAGTCAGAGCTAGCCAGTAAGAAACAAGCAAGGCCAACAGCTTCCTAATGAATATAGCCTCCTGTGTGTTTATTTGGGACTGATGCGGCTCTAGAACCAGGCTGGCGGGAAGGCTCCTCTCAAGGAAAAAGCTTCTCTTTACAGGGAAAAAAGTTGCCATTATCATATACATCAAAGAGTACATTATAGCCCTTTACTGTAAAATAAGCTATATTTTCTCCTATTTGGTTATTTGTCTTATAGCTTTGTTTACTACATATATATGAGGTTTTTCTAATTTTTTTTATAAAAATGTATCCCAATGGTCTATTGAGGTGATACTATTAGAGATAATAAGTCCAGTTGTATAATCACTAATTTATTGCTGTGGGAGAGTAGTCATAGCTAAGCTGCTCTTACCCTAAGTGATGAAGGAGTCCAGTCTCCTTCACCCTGATGCTCACGGTTATAAGTTGTGTCTTACCCTCAGTGTTAATCTTTTACCAAGCAGCTGTGAAATCCCAACATTTCTTTAAGTCATTTTGGGGGGGGGTGTCTGTGTCTGTGTTGGGGTGAGTAAGTACAGTTGTCCATGGAGGCCAGAAAAGGGAACTAGATCCCCTGGAGCTGTAGTTATGGACGGATGTGAGCTGCCATGTGGGTGCTGGGAACTGAACCCAGATTCTCTTCTTTCCAGATCTCCACTTTTTTTTTTTTAATTTAAAGGCAAGATCTCATTGCATAGTCCTGGCTGGCCTGGAACTCACTATGTAGGCTACTATATAGGCTGGCCTTGAACTCACAGAGATCTGACTGCTTCTGCCTCCAAGTGCTGGAATTAAAGACATGTGCCACTATGCCACGCTACCTCTGAAAGGGGTAAAATAAACTCAAAGGTCTCACTTCTGATAATTTAGAAATAAAGGGACCAGACCCTCATTCCACCCCTGCGCAGCCATGACAGGCTACAGAAAAGATGCATAGGCCTCTGACACAAGGAAACTCCAGATCCTGTGGCCTCCCAGAGTCTAGGGCCAAAACTGAACACAAAGAAACTCCAGACCCCCCCCCCAGCTTCCTAGATATTTGGTTCTTGGGAACTGTTTGGTCACAAAAGAAACTCCAGGGGAGACCAAAACCTCCCCTGTAGTCTCCAGGATACAGCTCTGAAAACTATTGGTATCTAATACAACAGGCCACCTGCATGTAACAAGACAATACCACAGAAACCACAGAATGTTCCCTCTCAGTGCTGACCAATGAAAATAATTGGCAGATATTTCATGCCAAAATATGACTGAGAAATTCTAATTGTTCCCAAATGTCAACCAGTCAGAAGCCAACCCCTACCTACTGATGTAATCCTGTAACTTTTGTCTATAAAACTTAATAGCGGACAGGGAACTTCACTCCCTCTGGAGGCTGCTGCCACAGCTAGCCAGACGGGGTCCCTGTCATGGTTGGATGAACAATTAAAACCTTGCTTTTGCAGTTTGGTGGGTCTGTCTTCCTGGTGGTCTCTGGGGATCTTTATGACTTGGGCACAACAACCTCAACGTTTCTTAACAGTGAATTACTTAATATCTTCAATATATTTGAAGACCACAAATAATTTCTTCTTTCTTCATTCACATGTGAATGCCCATAATGTTTTTTTTTTCTACTAGGAAATCAATGAAAATTCTCTTAAGAGATTAAGTGTCTACTTAGAAAATCTCCAGAAACCTGGCTTTAAGTCTCTGAAACCAACTCAGCTTACATTTTACATAAGAGAAAAAACAGCCCAGAGCCCCTCTGAAGGCCAGGAGCCTGTCAGTACTTCCGGTACGTTGTTTCATTTCTGTTGTGTCCCTTACCAGCTTCATGGGAAGTGTGTTCATTAATTCTGACAGGGCCAGAATACCTTTGGATTAAAGCCTTGATAGTTGATAAATATGATATAATTGTTTTCCCAGAAGTAGATTCCTAGCTGCATATGTTTAAACATTTTTTTTTCCTAAAGTATTCCAGCCAAGTGTTAAGGTTCATGCCTTTAATCTCAGTATTTGGGAGGCAGACACAGGTAGATCTCTGAGTTTGAGGCCAGCCTGTTTTACATAGTGAGTTCTAGGCCAGCCATGATGGTGTATAGCCAAACTATATAGTGAGGCCCTGTATCAAAACAACAGGAACCCTGAAGAGTTCCTATTTATGGCCTTCCAAATTCAGTGTTGATCTGAGGGTTAGACATGTCTGTTACATTCACACTGAAGTCTACACTGTTCCTTCTCTTACTGTCCCTGTGAGAGTAGAAATGCTTAACTGTTGTGACCTAGTGCATCCGCCCTGCTTTCAAAGACTGCAGAGACAGAGTAAGGTCTTGAACACCATTTCTACACAGTAATGCCTGCTTTCACTGGCTCCATCAGGATGCAGTAAGTTTGACAAGTGGGACCTCTAGCTGTGGGCACATCCCTATGACCCCAGTCCTTGGATGCCGATGGATGAAGACTGAGTTTGAAGCAAGATCCTGTCTCAAAAACACACCAAAAAGAAAATTGTGGCGAGCTGGACGTGTTAGCGTGCCTGTATTCCTAGCATTCCAAAGGCTGAGGCAGTAGATTGCTACCAGTTCGAAGCTAGCCTGTGCTACTTAACCAGACTGGTCCTAAAAAAATTTTTTTAAAGCCTGCCCTGTCCCTTCTTGAAATATCTGTCCTTTTGGTTATATTGAGGAAATAACTTTATTCCTAAAAGACTTTTAAATAGTTTGAATATACACTGATTTTTTATTTATTTATTTATTTATTTATTTATTTATTTATTTGGTTTTTACGAGACAGGGTTTCTCTGTATTGTTTTGGATGCTGTCAGTCCAGCCTGGCCTCGAACTCACAGAGATCTGCCTGCCTCTGCCTCCCGAGTGCTGGGATTAAAGGCGTGTGCCACCACCGCCCGGCAATACACTGATTTTTAACAGGCCTTTGAGACATAGAAAATACTTATAATTCTGCCTGTGATTCCTGACTTATCTTTGATTATTAAAATGAAAGTTGCAATATTTTGTAGAAATCCCTTTATAGTCCCGCAGAAACTTAGATGGAAAGGAAGGGCTCCATCTCAAAATCAGGGGAGAGCCCATGAGTGGGAAGGTGGTTTTCCCAGGAAGAGGCTCATCCATTGCTGACCCTGAGAGCTCCTCAAATTCCGGAAAACTACATAATTTGTGGTAGTGGGGGACTGCATTTGAGCTCTCCCCTTAATGAATAAAAAACAAAACAGTAACAACAAAAAAAGAAAAAAGAAACCTCTTCATGTTAAAGACTGGCCCATCTGACTGGCCTAAGAATTAGCATTTGATGATGTGTTTTCTCTAGTCTTTTATTCTCCCATCATTGATTATGGAAACCAAAAGTCACAGATTCTTTATCTTAGCAGTTTCTCCATCTGACTTAGGTTTTTATTCAAACATCCAGGAACAGTAGCACTAGTAACTCAGCATGGAGAGACCGAGACAGGAGGACTGTGAGTTCCAAACCAGCCTGGGTTACAGAACAAGACCCTTCTCAAATATTAAAAAAGATTATTAATGTTCTTGGCTACAAGAGTTCCCTGAGGTGTATTGTTCCCCAGTGTCCTGGCTGGTTTTGTGTCAGCTCTACACAAGCTAGAGTCACCAGAGGAAGGAGCCTCAGCTCTCCCTGGGATCCAGCTGTAGGGCATTTTCTCATTTAGTGGTCAAAAGGGAGAGCCCAGCCCATGGTGGGTGGGGCCATCCCCGGGCTGCTGGTCCTGTGTTCTATAAAGAAAGCAGACTGGACAAGCCATAAGCAGCTCCCTCCATGACCTCTGCATCAGCTCCTGCCTCCAGGTCCCTCCTCTGTTGGCTTCCCTCAGTGATGGACAGCAGTGTAGAATTGTAAGCAGAATAAGCCCTTTCCTCTGCAGCTTGCTTTTTGGTCATGGCATTTTGTAAGAGCCCTAACTAAGGCAGCCAGTGTCCAACCACATGTTCGTAACTGTCAGTGTTTCTGTCACTCAACATCACGGTAAAACTGGAGCTACCAAATCCTGCTGATACATGATGACCTACTTGACTTCATGATTTCACCAGACACATTCGGGATTTAGAGAGGTGAATCTCACCTTCTGTAGTTGTTCATATAAAATAGTCTCTCAGTTTTGTTTCTGTTGTTAGATGAGTCTTATTTTTGCCTCTGTCTTTATGACAATTGAGAGTGACAAAAGATTTGAAAATTGTGTTTCTTTAGGTTTTTTTTTTTTTTTTTTTAGTTTTTCGAGACAGCTCTGTGGCTTTGGAGGCTGTCCTGGAACTCACTTGGTAGTCCAGGCTGGTCTCGAACTCACAGAGATCCGCCTGCCTCTGCCTCTCGAGTGCTGGGATTAAAGGTGTGCGCCACCAACACCCGGCTCTTTAGGTTATTTTTTAAAAATGTTTTTTTCAGAGGTGTCCTGACAGTAACACATGACAGCATCATGCATTCCATCAGAACCTAAGACTAACATGCAGGTTGCTGTGCATCCTAAGTGCTGGGATTAAAAGTGTATATCACCTGTCAGGCGCTGGTGCGGGCCTTTGACAACAGCACAGGAGGCGGAGGCAGGTGGATCTCTGAGTTCAAGGCCAGCCTAGTCTACAAAGTAAGTTCCTGGACAGCCAGGGCTACACAGAGAAACCCTGTCTCAAAAAAAAAAAAAAAAAAAAAAAACATGGAAAAAAAGTGTATACCACCATGCCCAGCTTTCTTTATCTTTTTTATCTGCTTATTGTAATCGAGGGTGCAGTGGAACCACTGAACTAGACTACTCTGTAGGTAAAAAGAAAGGCTTTATTGGGGACCAAATTTCCAGGGCTGTCTCTGGTGTGAAGGGGTGCAGAGAGGAGCAAAATGGTGGAAAAGCAAGAGCATTTTACATGACCTGATGCAGGCTGTCCAGATAAACCAGGAACTAGATGTCCTTGCCCAACAAGGCCCTGGTAAACAGAAACCTGCCTTAGGACATTCAGCTTACCCAATAACAACCCTCTGTTTACCCCGTCAGAGTGCTCCTGGTAGGACGTGGTCATCAACACTGACATTTTGGAAGAACACTTTGGACCTAACACAAAATTAAAATTAAGTTGTTCTCTGTGTAACATCTCTGGCTATCCTTGCTTTGTAGACCAGGCTGGCCTTGAACTCACAGATATCTGCCTACATCTGTCTCCCCAGTGCTAGGATTAAAGGCTTGTGCCACTACACCCAACAAAATTGTTTTTCATTACTGAATTTTCATTAACAGTTGGATATTACTAAGAGATTGGCTGTTTCTTTTCTTTGTCAATTTCATGCATAATGTAATGCATTCTGGTCATTTTAAACCCTGCTGCTCATTCCCACTCCCTCCCATTTCTACGAAACTTCTTCTCAACAAGCCCCTCTCTACTTTCCAAGTCTTTGTCCTTATTGCTTTATTAGGGTATTTTGTTTTATTTTCATAACAATGCATTGAATTCTTTTGTTGTTGTTTTGGTTTTTTTATTTGTTTGAGACAGGGATTTTCTGTGTAGTCCTGTAGTCCTGGAACTTGCTCTGTAGACCAGGCTGGTCTCAAACTCACAGAGATCCATCTGCCTCTGCCTTCCGAGTGCTGAAATTAAAGCCACCTGGCTAATGCATTGAAATCTTAAAGGCCTAATCATTTCTCTAGTTCTAAGGGTTTTTGTTTTTTTTGGGTTTTTTTTTTTTTTGTGTCCCAAGAGGAAGTGAACTGTTATCAGAATAAGCATTAAAACAGAACAGAATTCACCAAGAACTTCTGTGAATTAATGTTTAAGTAAGTAGCTATAGCCAGCCCTGACTGAACAAAGTCCAAAAATCTTCTACTGTCAGCTAATGGTTAATTGAGAATTATTCATTAGCAAGAACAGGTGAAGAAAGAAATTATAATTGAAAGAAAGCATGATTTTAAAAGGGTAGTATTAATATGCAAAGCATTTTTATACCAAAGGAAATCAGAATATCTCCCTTCCAGAAAGGTCTGTAAGTCAGATAACAGTAAAAGAAGGAAGCTGAAGGGGTCAGGCGCTGTCCTCCCTGCTGCTGACCTTTCCACACTGATGATGTCTGCACATGAGAGAGTGCTTCTGCAAGCCAGGCGTGGCGGCACACGCCTCCCATCCCACACTGGGAGGCAGAGGCAAGAGGGTCCGGTGAGTTTGAGGCCAGCCTGGCCTCCATAGTGAGTTCCAAATCAGAACTACAGGGTGAGACCCTGTCTCAAAAAGAATAAGGAAGAAAAGCTTCTTCACACTCTGTTGCGGGCTGTGTAGATTCAAACTTTTCCTTCCTAGTGCTAGAGATTGGACCAGGATCTCACACACTTAGACAAGTGCTTTACCCATGAGTGGTGTTATTCCCGGCCCCACATAAATTTCTAGAATGTACCTTGTAATGACCTCATCAAAAACAGCAAAACTGCTATTCTCAAAAGGAATCCTGAAGATCTAAAGGACGTGTCCTATTGTCCTGGATAGCTGCCTGTGTGATCAATGATTGAGTGATCAGTGGATAGATTAGCAAAGCCAGCACATTTCAGTCTCACATGGAAGTGATAAGTATGTGTGGTTATTACGCTGGCTAGCATGCAGCTGCTGAAAAGCATAATGCTCATTTAACATACAGATGTGGAAGGTGTAGATCCACGAGTGAGAACAAAGACCACCAACCCGCATGCTTTTGGTCAAATTAAGCAAGCTTTATTTTCTGTCAGACAGGGCTATCTCCCTAAAGCAGGGTTTGAAAAGATGGCATTGAACATAGGAGAAAGTGAGGCTTCTATAGCCCCAAAACTGCAAGACTTGGAACTTTTCCAAAGATTGGGGGATTCTTGGTTATGTAGGAGGTTGGTTGAACATCTCAAAATCATTTGGCAGAACATCTTATCAGGGTGGAGAGCAGGGTGTAGTCAGAGTATAAGATGTGGAACATGTCAAATTCCAGAAAATGGGTCAAGACACAGACAAACCCAAGTTTTACAGAAAACAGAAATTAACTTATTTTGACCTTGTAATAAGCTGGCTTTTAATCTTAAGATGGAGTCAGTCGGCCCATCTAAAGGTCACCAAGTTAAGAAGCAAAAGGTTCATGTATGGATAATAGATCCATAATGATGCCATCTATACTAAAAGGAACAATTTTAAATGAGTGGGTCTCATGTGATCAAGGAACTGGATTTTAAGTTTTATTTAAATGTTTTTGTAGTAGTAGTGTTGGGGGGGAGCAGGGCTAGTTTTACTGTTTTGAAGAAAAGTTTCTTAGCCCAGGCTGGCTTCAAATTCACTATGTAGACAAGGATAACCTTGAAGTCCCGATCCATCTGACTTCACCTCTCCCAGAAGCTGGAATTACAGGCCTGTACCACCGTGACCAGCTTAGTTTTACATTTTTTGATTATGAATATCCACATGTGCATGATTAGCTCATATTTAATACATGTTCGAAGACTATATACCAACTGTTAACAACGTTATATCTAGTAAAGGTCTGAGATTATATGCGTGTTAGTAGACCTTTACTCGAGTGTGTGTGTGTGTGTGTGTGTGTGAGAGAGAGAGAGAGAGAGAGAGAGAGAGAAAATTTACCATGAGCATATGCTTATAAAGTATTTGTCTAAGTCATAGCACACACCTTTAATCCCAGCACTCAGGAGGGAGAGGCAGGCATACATCTGTGAGTTGGAAGCCAGCCAGAGATACATAGTGAGACCCTGTCTAAGGTACTAATAGTAATACTTAATGAAATTTTAAAACCTAGGGCCTTGGGAGTAAAAAATGACTCAGTGGTTTAAGAGCACTGACTATTCTTCCCGAGTACCCAGGTTCAAATCCCAGCACCCACGTGGCAGCTCACAACTGTCTGTAACTTCAATATCTGACACCCTCACACAAACATAGATGCAGGCAAAACACTAATGGACATAAAACAATAAAAATAAATTATTAAAAAAAACCAGGACCTAGTGTGTTCTAGGCAAGAACTCTGCCACTGAACTATATTTCCAGCTCCCTTGTGTAATTTTCAAGCTGCTTTTAAAAATTGGGGATTGGGCCTAGAGAGATGGTTCAGTGGCTGGTGTCCCTGTGCGCCCTTCTCTCTCTAGAAACTGTGTGACGGACATGAAAGCCCTGCCCTCTCTTTAGTGCCGAGATCCATGGCAGCACTGAAACACAGTCTCCATCCCCTCCTCGCTGGGAGGAGTAAGTGTACCACTAAGCCCAACTAAAAAGGAACCCAGGGTTTGGAGGAGGAACTCATTTTCCATTTACTGGGGTGGATTTTTATGGGTAATAAAATGTTTTTAAAGATTTTCATTGTGTAATTGTTTCAAGAGAAATGATTCTAAGGTAAGACAAGTAATCGTCTGTATTAATTGTTTGGGGAATTATATTCTCTAGGATTTCGAGCAGTCAGATTTACTTTGCACACCAGCGATCTGCTAAGCACAGTATTGTATATTCTCAACTCCTGCAGTTTGTCTGCTGAACACATCCAAAGCTTGAACACTAATGTGCATTCCCAGCCTCTCAAGGAAGCTACAGGGATGCCTGACAGACCCATCAAATGGCATAGGTCCTATTATTCCTTCACTGGGTTCAAAGACCCTGACGAAGACCTTGAACACGTCTCAAGGGTGGAAACAACCCTCATGTAAGTAAAAGGTGTTATTTAAACAGCCTCTTACAGTTTATGTTTATATGTAGTTCTGACTTTACAGGAAAAGAAATTTTAGTGATATATTTGATATAGAAACCATGAGAAAAGATATCTTATGTTTCTTGCTTAAAGTTACAAAAACACTTCCATTTTTTATTGTTTAATACAAGATACATGCAAAAAAATTTAAGTTTTTTGTTTTTCTAAATAATTTATTTAACTTTATTTATGTGCATTGGTATGAAGGTGTCCGATCCCCTGCAATTGGAGTTAAAGACAGTTGTAAACTGCCATGTGGGTGCTGGGAATTGAACCGGGTCCTTTGGAAGAACAGCCAGTGCTCTTAACTCTGAGCCATCTCTCCAACCCCAAGATTTAAATTTTTTAAATCAATTCTTTACACATTGAGCATTTCCATTCTATTTAGATAGTTCAAAGGTAATTAACTTTTTTTTTTTTTTTTGGTTTTTTGAGACAGGGTTTCTCTGTATTGTTTTGGAGGTTATCCTGGAACTTGCTCTGTAGACCAGGCTGGCCTCAAACTCACAGAGATCCGCCTGCCTCTGCCTCTCAAGTGCTGGGATTAAAGGTGTGTGCCCAGCAGTGATTAATTCTAATAATAATAATACATGCTTACAGAAAAACACATCAGTTGTGGTGACATGTGGCTGTAATCCAGCCTTTGGAAGGCAGCCAGGAAGATGAAGAGATCAAGGCAAGCCAGTTTGGGATACATAATGAATCCCTGTCTCAAAATGAGAGAGAGAAAAGAAAGACAGAGACAGAGATGGAGAGACAGAGAGAGATGTCTTTATAAAATATCATCTTGAATGGGTAATTGTAAAAGAATGTTTTTAAATTTTAAAAACTAGATATGAGTAGGATGTGCAGTATTTTGCTTTAATCTCAGTATATTTGGGAAACAGGTAGGAGGATCTCTGAGTTCAATGCCAGTTTGGTCTACATGAGTTCTCAAGCCAGCCAGGGCTATATAATGAGACCCTGTCACAAAAATAAACAAATAAATTATATGTATACATATATATAAAATATCTGACATGTTTAGTAAGCTGCCATTAATATTTTGATTGAAGCAGATGTTCATAATGTAATGTCAAGTATAGAAAGCTGATTTTAAACACTATAAGCCCATTTTTATAAATCATATTTTGCAAAGTAAAAGGACAAACAATATTCATGAAAATATTATCATTGATTAGTTTAACATAGCAGTTTGGTAATTTTTTGTAAGCCTGTTTCTTTTGTTTTGTTTGTGATTTTCAAGACAGGCTATCACTATGTCGCTATGACTGGCCTACAACTCACTATGTAGACCAGCCTGACTTTAAACTCAGAGCTCTGTCTGTCTCTATCTTCTGACGGTTGGATTAAAGACATTCATCACTCAGCTAAGCCTAATTCTTCTTCTTCTTTTTTTTTTTTTTGTGAATAGACTCCTTTAAGCCAGTCCCATTCTGTTTCAGTGATTATACTCAAAGAAGCTGGTAACTGGCCATAACTTAAGACATTATTCTTTGCTGTCTGTCCATTACCACTGGACCCCTGTGTGTTATCTGCTCGATATTGGAGCCATTGTCGTCTAGCTACAACCCCCACAAGGCTAAGAGGAAGGGAGAGAGGCCAGGATTAGACTGAGGCAGGAGTCTAGCTGTGATCCTTGTCTGTGTTCATGATGTTGACACATCCCTCTGACAGTATGCTCCACTGTTGAAAGCAGGCTACAGGAAGAAGGGGATGTGGGAGCACTGATGTGGTGGGCATCGAGAAGTGAGGCAGGCGTGAAGGGCTGGCGCTAGCTTAGCTGTCCTAGAGGGGCAGTGGACATAGAGGGCTGTGCGTGTGCATTCAGCGCTCTGGCTCAGCCCGCATTCACCTTAAGAGGATGCCTGGACTAAAGGATGTAGAAAAATTTACGTTGTTTAATTCAAGGGAAAAAAAATGATGGTGTTAGACCTTACTCAAGCTAAGGGGCTCAAGGATAAAGTACTAAAGAGTTTCAGACCTCAGCTATGTGAGCATCCGTTGCTTAAGATTGTCCCAGGGGGGCTGGAGAAATGGCTCAGAGGCTAAGAGCATTGGCTGCTCTTCCAAAGGTCCTGAGTTCAATTCCCAGCAACCACATGGTGGCTCACAACCATCTGTGATGAGATCTGGTGCCCTCTTCTGTCCTGAAGGCAAACATGTAGGCAGAACAGTGTATACGTAATAAATAAATAAAATCTTTAAAAAAAAAAAAAGATTGTCCCAGGGTCCCAGAACTAACTTAGCCTAGCTGACAAAATGATGAAAACAGACCAGAACTAGAAAAAGACAATTCAGCAGTGTTCTTCAGGGTTTCTTATGTAAGTGATTTTTCATAATCTCTTCACCTAAATATTCAACAAATTACCATCTTTAATATGAGCACTAGGAAACAAAATAAACCTTGGTTGGAATAAATACGGTGTGATGGGCTCAATGGTCGGCTTAGCAAATTCAGAGTGTCACATGGAAGTGGAAAGTCAGTGCAGTCTGAAGTGACAGACCTGACTTAGCAGTGGAAGGACTGTCAGGTACTTTAGCGTGCTCTTGTTAACTTCATTAGCATTTACTAGAAGTGTCTGCTGGTTTGCAAGAACACACCAGCTCAGAATATGCTTGTGTCTAGATGAACCATGCTGCCTGCCGTGGATTCTGATTTCTTCAAGGTGTGCTTTCTTTTTCCATTTAGACGCTTGTGGCTTACTCCAGACCTTGAGGAGAGCAGCTTTGTAAACTGCTGTTTCAGGGGTTACAGTCAGGGAAAATTGATCACTGTTAATCAGTCCAGTTGTCAGTAGCTATTTGTCATGACATGGTGGTGAACCTGTCATTAGTTAAATAGACTCTTGGCTTCATAGGTGGAATTAATAACAATCTAGCATTATGGTGGGGGTTAACATTACTCAAAGGCCTTTACATGGTTTGAACGTTGATATCTCAGGGGTTTATGTGAACCCATTATAAGGCTTTGTGGAGTTTGAGTGTAGCTTTAAGCAAGTACAATTGTATGATAGGAGGCCAGTCCAGGGAAACTGTGTGGCAACATGCATAGCCAGAACCGTGTGTGTGTGTGTGTGTGTGTGTGTGTGTGTGTGTGTGTGTGTGTGTGTGTGTGTGTGTGTATGTGTGTTGGGGCAGGGTCTCTCTAAATAGGCCAGTGCAGGGAAACTGTGTGGCAACATGCATAGCCAGAACCGTGTGTGTGTGTGTGTGTGTGTGTGTGTGTGTGTGTGTGTGTGTTGGGGCAGGGTCTCTCTAAATAGCCCTGGTTTTTCGAGAACTTACTCTGTAGGCCAGGCTAGCCTGCCTCCACCTCCCGAGTTCTGGGATTAAAGCCTGCGCTAGTACTCCTGGCTTGGGAACCTTGTAGTCTTAAAAGGTGCCGTGGGCAGGATTAATTCATATGCCAAGTAGTGAATCGAAAATAATGAGCACATTTACTTAGCAGTAAGGACCTGCTGCCTCATCCTTTTCATTGTGCCTCAGGCCCTGCCCTCTGCAGACCATCTGTGTGGACATCGGTTCATCCGTAGACCCATGTGCACTATCGAGATCAGCACACCCTCCCTTCTTACCCACGCATCTCAGCTTCAGGCCCACATTGTCCATTGTATAGAACCGTCCAGCTGGAGTTAATTTCTGAGTCCTCTTTCTTTTCCCGATAGTCTGTTCTCCTTTTAGGTAACTTTTCTTTCACCTTGAAGGGTATTTGGGATAAATGTTTGTTTGATAAATTCATAATGATTAGCCAGGTAATGGTGGCAATTGCCTTTAATCCCAGCACTCGGGAGGCAGAGGCAGGCAGATCTCTGTGAGTTCGAGGCCAGCCTGGTCTACAGAGCCAGTTCCAGGACAGCTTCCAAAACAATACAGAGAAACCCTTTCTCAGGGGAAAAAAATTTATGATTATTTCACTGTTTTGCAGTTTTTAAACTTTGTACATCTTAATGCTTTAGCTCACTCTAAAATGGTCAGTTGAAGCATCTCCTGTCTAAAGGCTTTGTCAGGCACATTTTCACTCTCTTTAGCATAGTTTTTCTTACAGGGTATGATGGACATATCCCACAGTTTTTCAGGCATCCCCATGAGGAGCTGGATAAGTGCTCTGTTTACTCTTTAAATTGTTTCTCTCCTCTCCTGGAGTTTTCTTTTGCACAAACATGCCTGAGGCACACTCACTCCCACATCTGAAGTGTTTCCCTTTCCTCAATCACCTTCCCATTCTGTGAACACACTCACACAGGGGCACACACACACACAGTCACAGGTAACATATGCCTGCACACACACACTGCATACACTACCTTTTCTCACCCACACCCCCAGACTCCACCCAAGACTGCAGGCAGTAACAGGGAACCTGTGTCTGGCTGTTCTTGGCACTGCAGGAGACACCATCCAGGGAGGGCGGTGCTGTCCTCCCGGATGCTCCTTCTGACAGCTGCCCTGCCCTAGCCCTCTAACCATTCTCTAGCATTTGTTTTTCCTGTAAGGTTATTGAGGGAAATCCAAGAAACAACCAGAGCATCTTTTCTACTGCATCTGTTTAATTATGTAGTTAATGAAACTGAGACCCCAGCCACTTCAGCTGGGCACTGGCTTGGGTGAAAAGAAATGTTCCTCCGAGGTGGTAGAGGGGAAGTCCGTTGCTAAAGAGGTAGAGTGATGTGGTGTAGCCAGTAGAAGGATTAGGCGGAGAGATGAAGAGTTGGCTTTGAGAGCACAGGGTACTGCAACCCAGTATTAAAATTAAAGGCAAAAGTTAGGTTCTGCAGTCCTGACTCTTTCCTCAGCACACATGCCCTCGGTGTGTCTCTGTCGTGCCGTGTCGCCCCGTGTTTGCTCACTTGCTGCGTGGTTCTCGGTTCTGCCCTCACCTGATGTGTGCAGAGCTAATGCAGCCAGCAGGGCCTCCAGGGAACAGGGTTAAAGGTTTAGAGGAATCTTCACTTTCTTCGTAACTGTTTCAACTCTAAAACCTACTGATGGGCGTGGTCTGATTGAAATTTAATTTTTTTGCAATACTTAGAAGAGGCTGCCATAATTGTAACATGACTCCACAAGGGTAGGCAGCCTCTTGAAGCAGCCTTGTTAGAAGTAAAGATCTGGGGGACTGGAGAGACGGCTCAGTGGTTAAGAGCACTGGCTGCTCTTCCAGAGGTCCTGGGTTCAGTTCCAAGTACCCATATGGCAGCTCACACAACTGTCTACAACTCGAGTTCCAGGGGATCTGACACCCTCACACCAGTGCACATAAAATAAAGTTAAATGAATTATTTTTTAAAAAGTAAAGGTCTGGTTGAAAGCTCGGGTTAGCAGTGGAGCACTTTCAGATGTGTATTTGGGACTGTTGGTTGGTTTGTTTTATTTTTCTTTGCTGTCCCGGGCATGGAGCTAGGGCCTGACTTGCTCCAGGCATGCGCTTGGGCACTGACCTCCATCCCCAGCCACCTGTGCGCTGTACTGGAGGTACAGCGTCCAGAGCTTCTCTCTGGCTTTGGTCTAGGTCCTGGCTAGGCAGCAACGGGACAAGTGCTGTGAAAAAGCTGAGGAACAGTTTGCCGCTCAGGAAGGAGCTGGATCGTCTGAAGGAGGAGCTGTCTGAGCTCCTGCAGCTTTCCGATATCAGGTAATGAAAACGTCATATTCCTGTAAAGAGACCGCATGACCAGGGGCATCTACAAAAGAAAACATCTAAGTGGGGGCTTGCTTACCGCTTCAGAGGGTGTCATGACCATCATGGCAAGGAGCGTGGCAGACAGACAGGCGTGGTGCTAGAGCAGTAGCCAAGAGCTTAGATGTTGAGACAACCACCAGGCAGAGAAAGGGGGGCTCAGTAGGAATGGCTTGGGCTTTTTAAACCTCAAAGCCTTTCCCCAGTGTCACACCTCCTCCAACAAGGCCATACCCTCCTAATCTTTCTCAAGTAATTCCACCAACTAGTGAGCAACCACTCAAGCATGAGCCTATGGAGGCCGTCCTCATCCAGACATGCACACTGGTGCACACCTATGGAGGCCGTCCTCATCCAGACCTCCACACTGGTGCACACCTAGGAGGCCGTCCTCATCCAGACATGCACACTGGTGCACACCTAGGAGGCCGTCCTCATCCAGACCTCCACACTGGTGCACACCTAGGAGGCCGTCCTCATCCAGACCTGCACACTGGTGCACACCTAGGAGGCCGTCCTCATCCAGACCTCCACACTGGTGCACACCTAGGAGGCCGTCCTCATCCAGACATGCACACTAGTGCACACCTAGGAGGCCGTCCTCATCCAGACATGCACACTGTGCACACCTATGGAGGCCGTCCTCATCCAGACCTGCACACTGGTGCACACCTAGGAGGCCGTCCTCATCCAGACCTGCACACTGGTGCACACCTAGGAGGCCGTCCTCATCCAGACCTCCACACTGTGCACTCCAGTGTGCAGGGATACATGCAGCTCAGCTAATGAAGTGCCTGCTCAGTGCATGCCAAGCCCCGGGTTTCCTCCCAACACCACAGAGCTGGTATGGTGGTGCACACCTATAGTCACAACACGGAGGAGGTAGAGACAGAGCGATCAGATGGAGGTCATCTTTGACTCTAGAACAAGTTCCAGACTACCTGGATCTAATGAGACTATATTTTTAATTAAAAAAAACCAGTAATGGAAGTACAGGAATTACTTAGTGTTAACACTTTCTCTTTTTTTCTTTTGTTTGTTTGTTTGGTTGGTTTTTTGAGGCAGGGTTTCTCTGTGGCTTTGGAGCCTGGTAGACCAGGCTGGTCTCGAACTCACTCTGCCTCTCAAGTGCTGGGATTAAAGCCATGCACCACCACTGCCCATCTGTGTTAACACTTTCTAGTTGGTTAGTATCTGGCTCTTTAACTTCTCAGATAACCAGTACTCTTCAATTGTCATTTTATGGAAATAGTCAAATGACATCTTTATGAACACTGTTAGTACTCAGGCATCTGTACTGGCCTGTCCTTGGGGTTCTGACAGGATACGCCCTCAGCTGCAGACACTAAGAGCACCACCTGTACATGGTCACCACATTCCCTTTTAAAAGGGCCCTGCCCACCTCCCTCCCTCCCTCCCTCCCCCCTCTCCTCTGCCTGTCTGTCTCCCCCCAACACACCTCTCTTTTTTCTTCTGCTGGCTCCTGTCTCCAGAAGTCGATCTCCCCCTTCCCTTTCCATTCCCCTCCCCGTAATTTAAAAAACAACAACAAAAAACCTCCACTGGACTGAAGAGATGGCTCAGCCATTAAAGTCTAGGCTCACAACAAAAACAAAAACATCCTCATAAGCTCTGTCACATGGCATCTTTCTCTCTAGTACCGCTTCTTAAATTACAACTGTCATGCGTTTCTGTTTAAAACACAGCAGTAAAATTGAAGTTCTTATATTTTGGCCATAATATTTGAACTTTATTATTACATTTGTTTATTTGTGTGTGTGTGTGTGTGTGTGTGTGTGTGTGTGTGTATACACTTGCCATGGCACATGTATGGAGAACAGAGGACAGTGTGTATGCCTGTGTGTGCATGTGCAATGCTGAGGACTGAGCCCAGACACTTGCTCATACTTTAAAATAGAAACAATGTATTTGCTCTTTTTAAATCCTTGCATACATTAACGTGGTAACAATTCTTTTTTTTTTTTTTTTTTTTGATATTTGGTATTTAGTTTTTTGAGGCAGGGCTTCTCTGTATTTTTTTGGAGACTGCCCTGGAATTCACTCTGTAGGCCAGGCTGGTCTCAAACTCAGAGATCGCCTGCCTCCCGAGTGCTGGAATTAAAGGCATGCGCCACCAACACCCGGCTTTACTCCATGTCTTAGTCACTGTTTTATTGCTGTGAAGACACAGCATGACCAATGAAGCCCCTTTTTTTTTCTTCTTTTTTTTCCCCAAGCAGGGTTTCTCTGTGTAGCTCTGGTGTCCTGGAACTCACTCTATAGATCAAACTGGCCTCAAACTCAGAGATCTGCCTGGCTCTGCCTCCCATGTGCTGTGAGTATAAGCCCCCCTACACACACACACACACACACAGAGACAGAGAGAGAGAGAGACAGAGAGAGAGACAGAGAGAGAGACAGAGAGAGAGACAGAGAGAGAGAGAGAGAGAGAGAGAGAGAGAGAGAGAGAGAGAGAGAGAGAGAGAGAGAGAGAGATAGGAAAAATTCCAGCACTCAGGAGGCATAGGCAGGTGGATCTCTGTGAGTTCAAGACCAGCCTGGCCTACAAGAGCTAGTTCCAGGACAGGCTCCAAAGCTACAGAGAAACCTTGTCTCCAAAAATAAAAAAATTAACAGACACAATAACCATCTTTAAAACATTAAGATCATTTGAAACATGATGTCTGTTTGCTTCAGGAAGAGGCTGTTGACCTACTCAAGAATCAAGCATTTGGGGTGAGAGCCTGTTCATCCTCCATGATGCTACTGTGTGATGATATTTTGTTTATGATCTAGCAAATAAAGCTTGCCTGAAGATCAGAGTGCAAAGCTAGCCACACTAGTCAGCCATAGAGGCCAGGCAATGGGGCACACACCTTTAATCCCAGCACTTGGGAGAAAGAGGCAGAAGGATCTGTGTGTTTAAGGCCACCCTGGGCTACATGAGATTGAATCTGTCTGAAAGAGAAACAGAGCTCACACAAAGGAGATCCCAGCACTTAGGATCACATGCCTTTAATCCCAGCACTAGGGCTGTAGAGACAGGAGTGATATGACTGTGTGGAGGGAGGAGACAAGAGAGATGCAGTCTGAGGGCTCATGGAGACAGAGGCAGTCTGAGTCGGCAGCCTAAAGCAGGCCATCTGAGTCAGTCAGTCTGAGGATGCAGTCTGAGGGCAGGGTTTCCCCTTTGGTTTGAGCACTGGTAGAGGTAAGAACTCTCTAGTGGCTGGCCTCTTTGCTTCTCTGATCCTTCAGCATATACCCCAATAGCTGACTCTGAGTTTTCTTTTTTTCTTTTTTTTGGTTTTTCGAGACAGGGTTTCTCTGTGGCTTTGGAGGCTGTCCTGGAACCCACTTTGTAGACCAGGCTGGCCTCGAACTCACAGAGATCCACCTGCCTCTGCCTCCCAAGTGCTGGGATTAAAGGCGTGCACCACCGACGCCCGGCTCTGAGTTTTCATTATTAAGACCAATTAGCATTTGTGCTACGCTGCTGTTAATGTAGCTGTGTCTGTTGTCTTAGGTGGCAGAGGGGCTGGGGTGTTGCCCATCGCTGCAGCCAGCTGCACAGTCTTAGCCGCTTAGCACAGCAGAATTTGGAGCCACTTCAGAATGCAAAAGGTAACTATTGTCCACTCTCGTTGTTTGTTTGTTTGTTGTTTTATGGAGACAGTGTTTCTCTGTGTAGACTTAGCTGTCCTGGAACTCACTCTGTAGACTAGACTGGCCTTCCTGCCTCTGTCTCCCAAATGCTGGGATTAAAGGTGTGCACCACCACTGCCCAGCTATCCACTCTCTTTCAGAACATCTGTAGTACACGTCTATAAATTGTAGCACAAAACTAAGAGACTTTATCAGAGTTAGATATTTAAGTTTGTGGGTGGTTGTGGTGCACGCCTTTAATCCCAGCACTCAGGAGGCAGAGGCAGGCAGATCTCTAAGTTTGAGGACAGCCAGGGCTACACAGAAGGACCCTATCTCAGAAAAAAAGTAAAGTAAAATAAATGTTTGAATAAAGCAGAAACATAATGTAAGGTTCTAGGATCTACTAGATATAATCCTGAGTGTATATGCTAAGTTTAAGTAATTATTTGCAGTAGTATAAGGACGAGTCCTCTGGGCCATGACCAAGGGTCTGTGTTTTATCATCAGGATGCACCATCGTATTCACAGATCGCTCCGGGATGAGTGCACTGGGCCACGTGATGCTGGGGACCATGGATGTCCACCATCACTGGACAAGAGTAAGGATGAGCCAGAAGCGAGCAGACCGCTCTGACCTGCCTGCACATGCTTTCATTTCAAACAGCACTGTGACATCAGCAAACCGCAGCACTGGAAAGCATAGCTCCAGTTTTCCAGCCCAGTATTCCACACAGCTAGCACTTGAGAGTGAGGGTAGCTCTCCTTTACGTTTATATACCAGAGTGAGGGTAGCTCTCCTTTACGTTTATATACCAGAGTGAGGGTAGCTCTCCCTTACGTTTATGTGTTTTGTGTGTGTGTCTGCCTGTGTGCACGAAAGTCAGAGGACAAGCTGCAGTTCTGTTTTTCTACACCGGGTCTAGGGATTAAGTTCAGCTAATATGAACATTTTTTGTTATTAAATGTTTAGGTTTATTTATTTCTTTGTGCTTTGTCTGCATGTGTATGTCTATGTATCATGTGTGTGCCTAGTTCCTGAGGAGATGAGAGCAGAGCCTAGGATCCTGAAGCTGGAGTCACAGACACTTGTGAGACACATGTAGGTGAGGGGAATCAAACCCAGCTCTTTGCAAAAGCAAGTGCTATCTCTCCTGCCCCAGATATAAACATTTTGTTTAGCATGGTTTAGTTTTTCTGTTTTGGGGTTTGTTTGGTTTTAAGTTTCAGTATGTAGCCCTGGCTGGACTAGAACTCAATATACAAATCTAACTAAACTGAAACTTGTAGCAGTCTTCCTGCCTTAGCCTCCAATGTCACTATTCCTGGTTGATACAAGCATGGGAATTGCATTTTTCATCTCATGGGTAAATGCCTAGATAGAATTGCTGGATCATATCCTATGAAAAGATAGCCATATTTAATTATGAGATTCTAGCCTTAAGTTTAATTTGCATTAAATAATAAATGATGGTGATTATCTTTTCATGTTTTTATTTGCCATCTTCATGTCATCTTTGGTGAAGGACCTATTCAAATAAAATACTTTGTAGAGGGACTAGAGAAATGGTTCAGTGTTTAAGGGCACTGGCTGCACTTCCAGAGGATCCCAGTTTGAGTTCCAGCACCCACATGTCAGTTCACAATCATCTGTTACTCCATTCCCAGGGTTTCCAGTGGCACCAGACACTAATGTGGTATAGAGATACACGTTCAGACAAGACACCCATACTCATACAATATACACCTTTGATCCAAGCACTCGGGAGGCTAAGGCAGGCGAATCTCTGAGTTTAAGGTCAGACTGGTCTACAGAGTGAGTTCCAGGACAACCAGGATTACACAGAGAAACCCTGTCTTTAAAAAAAAAAACTAATTATTATTACTATCTATTGTTATTATTTCAAGCCACATACTTAATAGGTATTTTGTATATAAAGTGTGTAAGAGCTCTTAACACTCAGCAGTTTAAAAAAAAATGCCCAACCCAAATAGGAAATGTGCCAAAGACGTCACTGGAGACAGTGTACAGATGACAAGTGACAAGTGCCCGCAGCATGTAAGATGCTTGGTTGCAGCCCCACACTGGGCAGAACTGCTGAGTGGAAATAGTGGCATCACCAAGTGATGATGACCTGGGGAACTGGTTCACTCCTGACCGCTGACAGGAGTCCAAGTGTGCGGATTTCTGCACAAGGAGCACAGCAGGTGGCCCAGCAGGTCATTCCTGAGCATTTATAGTGGGAAATGAAAAGTTGTCTTCATGTAGAAATCTGTGCACAGACATTCACATAGCCAAGCGAGGAAGAAGTCCTAGTGTGCGTTAGCATAAGCACTGCTCAAGAGTGGGCATGGACCCCTGCTGCATGTGGCAGCCGCGAGTGGGAAGCCAGTGTCTGAAGGCTACAGTCTGTACAATCCCATGTCTGTACCACTCTGGAAATAACAAAATGACAGGAAGGCAGAGCTGTGCTGTGGCCTCCTAGACATCGGGATCTTGTGGCAGATCCTGTGGTGGACCTCTGTTCAGTGCTAAGTGGTGATTTCACATGGGTCTGCTCATGTGGAGAGACAATATATAATGAAACTCAAGGGTTAACAGAGTTAGATGAAATTAAGCAGCTGCTATATAATCAGTGTGTCTGCACTCACATTCAGAGACCTGTATAGTTTTACGTTACAGACACCTAGCACCCACTGTATGAACCCGCAGTTCTCAGAGATCTGAGTGTACTTAGCACTGCGGAAGTAACCCACAAAGAAGAGAGTCGGGGAGCAGGGTTATCTTTTACAAAATGTAGTAAGTGGAGATGGATGATTTATAGAAACTTTAGCTATTACTTTCATTATAGACAACCTGATGCCTTTTTTTTTGTTGTTGTTCTTTTGTTTGTTTTGTTTGCTTATTTCTACGTAGCCCTGGCTGTCTTAGAACTCCCTCTGTAGTCTGGGCTGGCCTCAAACTCACAGAGAACCCCCCCTGCCTCTGCCTCCTAAGCGCCACCACAGCCTGGCTAAAGCCTTCTAGTCATCTTAACAATATGCAGGTCCCAGCTTTCTACAGAAAACCAAAGTCCTTAAAGTCCTCCCTGACCCTGGCTCTTCCCTCGTCCCACTCACCAACACACGTGCCAAGCACCAGCCACACTCAACTTCCTGTTAGTTTTAGACATGGCCTTTTTTCTTTTCCCAAAGCATCCCTCCTTCATCTGCTGCTTCTAAACCGTATTGCACGTTCTGTCAAATCAGAAGTCTTGGCAGCCATTGTTTAAACCTAGCTGTGACCCGTCAGCTCATGTGGCACCCGAGCCAACAGTCTTGCTTCATTTTGTTGCCCCTCGACTGTGAGAGCTCTGGCAAGCACAGACAAGCATGTGCACGATATCGCTTACACACACAGTAGGTGTTCAGTTATGCTCTCTGTGCTTGTCAGCCAAGTTAGTTGGCTGACAGTAAATTTTCAGGGGATACTTAAGTGTACATTTAATCATCACGACCTGGCTTAAAATTCCTGTGAGAGTCTTTAAATGTGAGCATCTAGGGTTGATCTTTACCTGGAGCTTTTCCTGTTCTGCAGCTCTGCTCACTTCCCGGCTAAAACCCCTAGACTGATAGTTAGTTTTGGATATTAGTATTTCCAGGATTATATTGTCTATTGTACTGTATTTTCCTTGAATATTCCATCTACAAAAATAATTTTTAAAGCGTTCTTGTTAACTGGACTCCTAAAATTATAGTAACATAAAATTAGATGTCTTTTTTCCAATACTGTAGCTCTTTGAAAGCTTGCCGAGTTATTTTCACCTTCAGAGGAGGGTGTCGGCCTTAGAAGACCAGATAAGCAGTCTGCTTGGGGGCATCCAAGTGGTTTACATTGAAGAGCTACAACCAGCATTCACAATTGATGAGTACTACTCCCTCCTGGACGTGTTCTACAATCAGCTGCTGAAAAGTAGGATTCCATCCCACCCTCAAGGTCTGAGCGGCTTGCAGATGACCCTCAACAGGTAAGTATCTGCAACTGGATGGATGGATGTGTTTGAGGACAGAGACCTGTTTTTTGTTCCATTGCATGGTTCTTATAAATTTAATAGTAATAATTGATAATAAAGGAAATGCGTGGCTGGAGGAATGGTTGAGTAGTTAAGAGTGGATGCTCCTTTGACAGAGGATTCAAGTTCAGTTCCCAGGGCCCATGTCTGGCAGCTCACACCCACCTGAATGCCAGTTCCAGAGGATGCAGTGCCTGTGACCTCCTCCAGCAAAGACAGACGGACACAGAGACATTATATAATATATATATTCAAATGATTTTTTTAAATGGAGGCCAGGCATATGGTGCATACCTTTAATCCCAGTACTCAAGGCAGAAGCAGGAGGCTTAAGGCCAGACTCAGCTAAGCAATGCAAGCCCATCTCAAAAACAAAACAAAGAATGTCACTACTTGTGAAAAGAATTGTATTCACAGCCCTGTTCTGTGTGTGTCAAAAACCAAACTGAGAGACTGAAGAGTGAATCTCTACAACGATCTATGAAAACATAGCCACTGATCAGCAAAGTAAATCACTCAATCATAATGTAAAGTCAGTAGCTAAATGTGTGTGCGCGCGTGTGTGCGCATGTGTGTGCCTGTGCTCGTTATCTGCATTTTCCTATGTGCTTAAAGGCAATCTTAAATACTCACAGACTTTACCTTGAAGCTAGTCACTGCCTTGTCATCATCATTGTTGCTGTAATTTAATGTGGATTTTCTGATGACTATTTTTCAGTCACTTGAGATTAAAAAGAAGCATTGACTATGGAAGTGGTGATGTTTCCCTTAATAGACATTTGTTTCAGTGACAGGTACGAGCCAAGCTTGCACGAGCTCGGGCATTTTAACATCCCAGCCCTCTCAGATCCAGCAGGCCTCCAGTCATTTATGAGAACCAAAGCTCAGCAGGCAAGAGAAAACATGACCAGAAGGGAGGAGTAAGTACTGTTCACTTCCAGGATGTATGAGGGCCTAACTTTCAAACAGATAATCGAAAACATTGTCTGCATTTCAGTTGTTTCATTCATGCATAGCTGTTGTGTCTGTTGGTATCAGCAGAGACCAAAGAGGGCATTGGACCCCCTGAAGGTGGAGTTACAGGCAGTTGTGAGCACCATGTAGGTGCTGACGTTTGAACCTGCATCTCTGTAAGAGTCGCAGCTGCTGCGCCATCTCTCTAGCCCTGTCATATCTAAAGTGTGACTAGTTCATAACGTCCCGTTTCTGTGTGGTTTATAACTTGCAGTCACTTGACAGCCAGTGGTTTCGTCATCACAGGTTTGAAGCTGTAGAGTTGAGTCCCTTGTAGAGGAGAAAGGGTAGGAATGGGTCCATATAAAGGAATGGACAGACAGATGGACAGCAGGGCCAGATGGTGAGCAGGAAGGGAGAAACAGCTCAGGGCTGCTGGGTACAGCCTGATCTCAACATCCTAGTAAGGATTTATCCTCATAGTTTTTTCTTCGCTATTAGTGGCTAGGGGAAGTGTGTGAAAACTTTTTAAACTATGTACTATTGGACTGGAGAGATGGCTCAGCTGTTAAGAGCACTGACTGCTCTTCCACAGGACACAGGTTCGATTTCCAGCACCCACTCAGTGCCTCATGACAATTTGTAACTCCAGTTCCAGGAATCCAACACCCTATTCTGGTTTCCGAGGACACGGAGCACATAGGTGGTGCACAGACATCCATGCAGACAAAATGTCAGTACACATTAAAAATAATAAATGTAGGGCTGGAGAGATGGCTCAGCTCTTAAGAGCACTGCCTGTTCTTCCAGAGGTCCTGAGTTCAATTCCCAGCAACCGTGTGGTGGCTCACAGCCATCTGTAATGAGATCTGGTGCCCTCTTCTGGTCTGCAGGCAGAACACTGTATACATAATAAATAAATAAATCTAAAAAAAATAATAATAAATGTTTGGAAATTAGGAATAAAGTAGTAGTATTTTCACCTCACTAATGCTAAAAAGATTAAGTACTTTGAGAGTTTTATGTAGAAGTAATCAGCCAGTACCGGGCACATGGTAACTCTTGTCATGACTTTCCCATGACTGCCTTGTATGGACACTATGCCATCACCCCAATGTTTAAGAATATATGCTTTGTCTCATTTAGTAATAGCTTGTGACAATTTTTTTTATTTAATAGGTTAAAAGTTATTGAAAACGAGTTGATTCAGGCTTCAACAAAGAAGTTTTCCCTGGAGAAGTTATATAAAGAGCCCAGCATTTCTAGTAGACAAATGGTGGACTGTTGTAAGAGACTTCTAGAACAGTCACTGCCTTATCTGCACGGGATGCACCTCTGTGTGTCCCATTTTTACTCTGTGATGCAGGATGGAGACCTGTGCATCCCATGGAACTGGAAGGAAGGAGAAGCCATGAAGTAACACAGATGGCTGTGAAGCCATGAAGTAACACAGATGGCTGTTTTATTTTCTGGAGAAGTGAGAAACTGTTGAATGTATTTAAATTCAGTTTGATATAGTATTAGTGTTCACATGTTAGAACACAGTTCCTGACTGCTGCTCTAAAAGTGGGGTGAGCTTTTCTTTGTGGTGATTTTATGCTAAGAAACTTATCTTTCAAAGGTTTTATCCCCTAGTTTTATGATGCTGATGGCTAGGCAAAAAAGATGCTTAGAAAAAAACCCTATTTTAAAGATATGTAATAGAGAGTTCTGTTAAGTCATATATTTTTATATGAGTGGATGTGTGTGCATAAAAATTGGCCTCATTTAGTATAGCTCTTTAGTACTAGAACTCATTTTACATCCAACACAGTTGAACGTGCATCTTCATAGTTAAGTCTCATAGACACACACACTCTGTAGCCAGTAATGGACAGTTGTGTCCAAAACAGATGATTGATAAGAGTAGCAAAAATTAAATAACCATGTTTTGTTTGAGAAAGTTTTCTTTTGGTTGTTTGTTTTTGTTTTTGAGACAGGGTTTCTCTGTGTAGCCCTGGCTGTCCTGGTACTCGCTCTGTATACCAGGCTGGCCTGGAACTCACAGAGATCCTCCTGCCTCTACTTCCTGAGTCTGTAACTAAAGGCATGTGTCACCACTACCACCACACATCGAGAAAGATTTTTTTTAAAAAAACCCTATTGAATATATGCTATCAACACTGTTTGATACTAGTTTATTTAAATACATGATTTCTTCAACCAATCAAAATATCTGTAGATCATGTGCTTGGTAGGCAGAGGCCCCGGGTTCCATCCCTAGTACCAAGAATGAGTAAGATTTATTATCGTCATCAAGCCAGAAGCTCCTTCTAAAAGCTATTGTTATTTCTTCAGCTCTGGTCCAGGTAAAGCCTGTGGCCTCCTGTGATCTCAGATGTTTCCTACACAGCTGTCTATTCAGAGCAGTCTCTGTCTGTCTGTCTGTCTGTCTGTCTGTCTGTCTGTCTGTCTCTCTGTCTCTGTCTCTCTCTCTCTCTGTCTCTGTCTCTCTCTCTCTGTGTCTCTCTCTCTCTCTCATTCTGCACAGCACTTTTCCCCTGAGGAGGTCCTCCTGAGTTTTTCCCATGGTGCATCAGAACAAAGGAGACGGACGTTACAGTCAGTTGTTCATGTTTTGGATTTTTATTTTTAAAAAATCAGTTGTTTAAACAGTTCAATTGTGTGTTCAAAACAAGAACCTAGTGTTTGTGCCATTATTGCTTCTGACCCATGCTTATTTGACAATGTGGCTGTAAATACTCTCCATAAGAAAGGGTCCTCAAGTTGGGTTCAGTGGCGCACGCCTCTAATCCCAGCACTCGGGAGGCAGAGGCAGGTGAATCCCTGTGAGTTCAAGGCCAGACTGGTCTGCAAAGCAAGTTCCAGGACAGCTAGAGCTGTTACACAGAGAAACCCTGTCTTGGGGTTGGGGGCGATATGTTTTTTGGAAAATTGATTGTGCCACTTGTAACATCAACTAACACAGGAAGTGTATTGCGTTGGATTTGTCTTCAAACTGTTACATAATAAACAATACCTTGTTGACCATATAGCAGTTTTTCTTGTTTCCCTGTTAAAGTTTCACAACTAGGAGTTGTAGGAGATTGTTAGAAGTGACCCCAGGATATTTGTGCTCCCCTCACCACAGGTGAACCCTCTGGTACAAAATAAAATGGACTCCAAAGAGACCTGAGCTCTGAGCACAGCTGAGCTGCCCCCTCAAGGAGAGCTGGGGCTAAGCCGTAACTACAGGACTGTTCCAGCATGGGCCGCCAAAGCCCTTCTTCCTGCCTTTTACCCGTAAGCAGCCTCTGAGTTCATGAGCGAGAGGAAGGCTTTGAGAAGTGGGCACGTGAGGTGAAGGGCCAAAGCCAGTTCCCTCCTGGGGCCCAAGCACTGAGCACACAGCAGCCAGAGGTTCTCCACTGAGGGCAGTATAGCCGGGCAGGAAGGGGAGATAACTGCAAACAGCCCCGACAGGCGGGAGGGGGGACAAATGGCCCTGACCCCAGGGCAACCAACCCGAAAAGTTGAGAAACAACTCTTACGGGAACAAATGGCACAAGAGATAACCCTGCAAAGTCCCCAGTCGGCCTGGACTCTGCAGCCAATCAGCTGCGGACCGTGCCCGTCACCCTATTCTGAGCTCTTTGCCTTTATCACCCCCTCTTACAAGGCTCCTTCCTTCGACGGCTGCCTCCAGTTGCTGGACGAGGTCCCTGCCTAGGCTTGAGTCCAATAAAGAAACCTTGTGCTTGCGTTTGGTGAGTCGGCTCCGAGTGGTGGTCTCTCTGGGGGTCTTGTGGACCGGGCAGAACAGTGCCTCTCCCTACTCAGACTACCTGTCCCCTCGGGTTCCTGTAACATCTCACCCTTGGGCCTCTTGTTATCTTTTCAAAGTTCCGTCCCTACCGAGCTACTTCCAATCCAGCTAGATCCCGCCCGCTAAAGATTCCACACCCGTCTAACTAGCAGCGTCCTGAGAGAGCAATCATTCCAAACCGCTTCGGATTCAAACCCTAACAACCTGAGTCCACCCACAGCACCCACCTGCACCGCCTCCCCACCATGGAACTACCCTCCCTGCTCGAGGACCCCTTGTGACTGCAGCTCAGCTTCTCTGTGGGGAGGCTCCTGCCCCAGCTCGCCCTGCGGCTTTGCACGGCTCCTGGACTCTGCCTTTCCACACCACCCGCACTCCGCTGAGGCTGTTCCCAACCTTGGGGGTGGAGGGCTGGTACTCCTGGGTGCACGGGAGCCACATAACACCCTGTGGCTCCACCTTTAGGCCCTCGTGGAGCCTAGAACGAGCTCTGACAGGGGGACTTGTCCTAGGCACAGCACCTGCGCTAGCCCAGGAGCAGGCTTCAGCCCTTTTCCCTTGCAAGTGCTGTCCAGGAAAGCGAGCGTGGCCGCTCGCCCTGGCCTGTTCTCGCCCCGCTCGAGGCGTGCTTCTGTCCCGCAGATGACTCCAGCACCAGAACCTCGGTCTGTAAAAAAAAAAAAAATCTCAGAAAAGCTTGTATTGGCACTGAAAGCGTTTTTGCGGGTTCCAGTAAAACCTGTGCTTCTCGGGGTGGGACTGGTGGGATCTTCCCAGAGCGCTGCGGGTGTAGACACGCGGCCGCTTGGCCTGGTGCTTCGTGCAGAGGCCGGACCCGCACTCCCTAGCTCAGAAGGAAAACCGGTTGTTTCCGGTCCTCAGCTGGCAGGGCAGAGCCCAGGGCGGAGAAGGGCTGGCCGGAGGCATCGTCGCGGGTGGAGCGGAGCCTCCCGGGTGGCGCTGCGCCGGCAGAGCGCTCCCTGGTGGGGGCAAGATGCGGGGCGCGGCCGAGTCGGGGAGAAAGTAGTTTCCTGCCCCGGGGTCTTTCCCCGCAGCCTCGGGGTTCGCTGGGGATACCGGTCTGTGTGCAGCCGTCGCCACCGGGCGGGGCGCGCTCCCACACCCGGACCCCGACTTGGCCCGACGAGGCTTCTCTCCGGAGGCTGCAAGTGTGGTCTCCTCCCCTGGAGGGAGGAAGACTTCTCCAGTGATCTCATTTATCCAGACAAAAGAATCTAGAGATTTCATCTCCTGCGCAAGCTGACTCCTAGACATATCTAAAGGGGAGAAAACTAGATCAGGAGGCGCAAGTGACAGCTCTTAATTTTTAAATAGTCTTTTCTGATTTTTTTTCTTTTTTCGGGACAGGGTCTCGCTCTCTGTATCCTCGGCCGTCCTGGAACCAACTCACTGTGTAGGCCAGGCTGTGCCCTCCAACTTCAGATCCTCCTGCCTCTTCCTCCCGAATGCTGGGTCTGTACCACCATGCTCAGATTCATTTTCTTGATTAGTGATTGATGTGGAAGGGCTCTGGGGTGTAGCCAGTAAGCAACGCCCCTCCATGGCCTCTGCTTCAGTTCCCTACTTGGAGGTCCCTACCTTGAATTTCCACAGACTTCCCCCAGTGAGAGCGTGACCTCAGATATAAACCGAAATACATCCTCTCCTCCCCAAGTTGCTTTTGGTCATGGTGATTATCACAGCACTAGAAGCCTAACTATTGAAGGGCCCAGACCCTCACCCAGCCGCCTGCTTTGGCAGCCGTGACAGGCTGCAGAAAAGTCCCAGCAAGACAAAGGCCCCTGACTCAGCAGCCTGTGCTGAGCTCTTGACCGTGCCCTAATAACTAGGAAGCCAGATACCCTCCATGTAGCAAGGAACCAATCAGAAGTTAGCTGGCACTGGACATGCTTTACTGATAATAGTGGAACACAGAGCATAGCAACCACCCTGGGATGGCCTCCAGGCATAGCAACCTTTCTGCAGCTGCAGCTGACCAATCAACTCAGGACAGGTTGCTCAAGCCCAGAGGTGCACCAATCCTGAGACTGTTGCTATGCAACTAGCAGACCCCCACACACACACACACTCCCCTTCCTCTACCCCAATATATGCCCTGCCCCACTGCTGCTCAGGGTCCCTCCTACACCACCCATTGCGCCAGATGGACGTAGGGAGCCAAGTTAATTCCAATTAACTAGTAAATTAAAAAAGACTCTGCATTTGCTTCAGATAGGGTATGTTGGTGGTTTTGGGGGCTCAGAGTCTGGGCACAACACTAAGACATGTGGATGTAATGGATGCAGACTTTTTTCGTGCTGTGACTCCCTGAACAGTTCAGCATAGCCACTGCTTCAGCGTTTGCCCTGCCGTTAGAGATGGTGTGTGGGAAGATGAGGATACGCTGCATCTAAATACAATCCCGTTTTATGGTAGGGCTGTGAGCACCTGCTGGCTCGGTGTCTGCTGGCGTCCTGGTGCTGATCCCACGAATAATGAAGGGCAAGTGTGTATTAAGCATACGGTATCTGTGTCCCTGACCCAGGTCAAATATCGACGTATGTACGCCAACAATTTCAGTGGAAGGTAAATGATTAAACTTCTGATATTTTCTACTCAATACTAGTATATTCTTTGAACAGGCTGGTGACCATTCTTTAAGTTCATTCTATAAGGAAAGCAACAATGATTAAGTGACTATTGCTTGAAACCATTTGGCATGAAAAATAAGGTATACAGAGAAGACAAAAACAGAGTGGCATGGCCTCTAGAATTCAACCACTCCAAGAGATGAGGCTGGAGTTGAGGCTGACCTGGACTACACAGTGAGTTCAAGGCTACCCAGTAAGACACACACACACACACACACACACACACACACACACACACACACACCATCAAATTGCTTTTGCTAAGTTTTCTAAGATCATGTATAATCAGCAAAGAGATACATCAAAAAATGACCATACACTTGGAACCTGGGATTTCGTTCCTTCCATGGCAGAACAACTTCGGAGCAGAATTGCGTTTTGGACCTTACAAAGCACAGGTCTCATGCATTATCTAGGTGGCTCAATCTTATCATTTGAGCCCTAAAGAGCAATTTTGCTCTGATTCAGAGATGCAGAAGCAGGTGACAGGGTAAGGCAGAGAGAGGTCCCTCCGTTTGCTGCGGCCATTTTAGGTTTTTCAGTAGAATCTGATCTCCTTGGTGGAAAGTCCTGTGGAAAATGACCCAACTCTGTTCTAGGAACCTGAGGTCAAGAAACCCCATCTAATGTATCTTCGCTGCTGTTAAACTGCCTGCTTGTGCAGAAACGCCTCCAACTAACTGCTTATCTTAGTTTTTTGTTAAACTGCTTGCTTGTGCAAAACTTCCCCCTGCAGCTGTCAAGCAAAATAACAGGAGGTGGTTTTTGCATTTAAAAACCCCTTGCTCTAGCTACGAGCTGCACTCAGGTCCCAGATACCTGAGTGTAATCCCAGCCAGCTGGAATCAAGACTTTCAGTTGGCTGTAAACTAACTGATTGGTCTTCTCTGGTGGGCTCCTGATAATAGTCTAAACAAGAGAATGATTTGACTGGCTGTTCCTAAATTGAACATGGAAGGGGCTAAGTAGAAACCGTCAGAGGGAGACAGCTATCAATAAAGTGAGGGAGGGCCAGGCGTGGGGACACGCAGTTGTGACTCAGCACTTTGAGGTGGAGGCAGGAGGATCAGGAGTTCAAGACCTATAATAACAGGAAGTAAATCAGCAATTGTTGTAGTAGCAACAGGAAGCTCTAGGAGACTCTGCAGAGAGCTTAGCAATGCTTTAGAGTGGACAGAGCAGCTAAGGTCTTCTGAAACCATGCTCTACTTGAGGTGTCACCCAGGCCAGCCGGCAGCATTGACTCCTGCATTCTTTGGGAGGCTCTGCTTGCACAGGCACAGGAGCCCTCCCGTCCACCCCACCCCACCCTCCCAGGCCTACAAGGCTGACCTGCAGGAGTTCCAGGTTTAAAGCTCACCTGATGGAAGGTTATGGTAGCCAAGTCTGTGCAGATAGCTTCCCAGAGTGGGGATAATACTAGAAGCTGGGTGTTCCTAGCAACCTGGTCTTTGTTATGTAAAGCATTCTATCCTGGCCAGGCCTGATTCCTCCTGGAGAGCACACACCACTGCTCTCAGCCTCTCTGGTACTGTTCCGGATGTTCCCAACCCCTGGAGATGACTCTGGCATTGTCTTGGTGTTCCGTAGCTCTTGCTTTCTGGCAGTCCAACACGTGGCTTCTCTTCCAGAACATAAATGTATAACCAAGCAAGAATATGGCCGGTTAGCTTACATCCAGCACAGACCCCCTCCCCACTTGGCAATTTTCTCCTCTTTCTTGCCTAGTGATGTCCACCAGTTGGGTTCACAAGTGTGCACCTTAATCACATTACTCTATGCCCCCAGATGTTTGCCACTCAGCGGCCTCCATGGCAACTTCCCCATTGGCAATAGTGGTCTTGAGTCAACAGTGGTCTAGCACAAGGCCATTCCTAAAACGGGAGGAAAGGCAGAGGGCTTTACTCATCAGCCTTCATTGGCATTTTACATGTAGCCCAAGACAACTTTTCACAGTGGAAACCAAAGAAGGCAGACAGTTGGACATCCTCGCTTTAGAGTATCACAAGTAAGTTCTGGCATTCAACTGACTCGGTATAACTTAGATTCGGGTCCCCAATACAGCCATCACACAAAACTGATAGCTACTCTTAGCTTTTTAACAATGGACCCCAAATTTCTTCTTTGATTTCATCATATACCTTCAGGTCTCCTAAGAGCTGGCTGGGCTCCTTTTGTCCCACTTGGGAGTCACAGGTGAGGAAGTAGTAACAACTCTAGCGTGGAGTCCTTGGTTCTCAAGACCTTTACGAGATGGGCTCATAAACTTGGAGACTTAGAACCCCGGGCCTTGGGAATTCAACTTACCGCTCCAAGCTCTAGTGCTGAGGTTAGAGTTACAACTTTGGATTCCCATTGCTTGGAGGCCCAGCATTTGGCAGCTAGTGAAACCCTCTGCTCTGAGCAGGAGCTGGCATTTGGTGGCAAGTCCACTTAGCTCTACACAAACAGCTAGTGTCACAGCTCCCGAGTTTCAGTGTGGGATCCTTTACCTTCATAGTGTGACAGCTCCCAGGGACTCTTCCAGCTGCAGTGTTTAGTCCTGGCCGCTCACCTCCCCACCCCACACCTCTGCACGCTTCCATACATTCACCACCTTTTCCCTACTTGCTTCTGCTCCAGCTGCTCTGCAGCCCTCAGGGGCCCTCTTAGTACCGAGTGCCATTGTCACTATCTCTGCTGAGGATCCTCATCAGAAAACAGGCACAGACTGCTCTGTCTGCTTACGAGAAGACCAGACAATCTGGGAGAAGTCTTTAGAGTCCCCTGAGACACATTAGTAATAACCTCAGAGTACCCCAAATGCATCGGTGTCAGCAGGAGTGAAAACTCTCTGCTTCCGTCTCTGCCATCTGTCACCTGTCTATTGTAAAGTCTGAGCCCATGCCTGCTGAAATGCTGTCCTGTGACAGTCTGTCCTTGTGTGTGTTTCTAAGAAAGGGTTTTGCAATCTTTTGTTGAGCAGCACAGAGAGTTTCACATGGGGAAAGGATGAGAGACACTTTACATAAATCCTTACAGAATTTACATGAGATTAAGCTTTACCTGACCCAGAAACACTAAGAAAAAAAGCAAACATTAACTTTTCAAATAATGTCTGTATGGTGTTTCCAGCATTTACCGAAGATTATTATATAAGGTTGCTTTCAACCTACTAACATTTGTTACCATAATACACAAAGAAACATACATGCATTGCTTTCCGGATCACAGGCATACATAATTTCTATATATTAGCTTAGGTTGTAAAAGATGATTGCCAAGGCAAGTAAAGCTGGTTTTTACACGGTTATCTTAATTTAAAGGCAGGTTAAATATAGCTGAGGAGTGGTAGGCCATGCCTTTACTCCCAGCACTGGGAGGCAGAGGCAAGTGGATCTCTGACAATAGCCAGAGAAACCCTGTCTTGAAAAACCAAAAGAAAGTAAGAATGTAAAAGGCAGGTTAAACAGACTTAGCACACAGTGGGAAAGCAGTTTTAAGTGACCGTAGGGTATATTATTATACAGGGTATATATGGCAGTGAGGTACAGCAGAAGTTCTAGTCTCTCAGAAGGTAAGAGGTATTTCCACACTACAACACCACAGCCTTTGAATGGACAACAGCACCAGGGAGCAATACAGAGGACTACCTCCCAGCTGAAGAGTCTTGATTGCACGGGGGAGGGGAGGTGTTTGAGAGGGGAATGCAAATAAATGATTGCACATACATCACAGCACTTGCAGAGGCAGAGGATCTCTGAGTTCAAAGCCAGCCTGGCTTACATAGTGAGTTCCAAGACAGCCAGAGACCCTATCTCATAAAAAAGGGGTGGGGGAAGGGAGCTATGAGGTTGACCATTTGAGTAGCAGCACTGCAAGTCAGTGGAGAGCTGAGGCCTCAGGATAGAAATCATTACACAGATATCAGAGGCCACCGTTAACTTTTTATTTTCATATACTTTAGCAGTTGAAAGAATCCAACATAGTAATCCTGTTAAATCATAACTTTAGGATGTGTTTGTATCAATCTTTAGAAACACAAGTGAAGCCCCATGTATTCATACTGATTTCACCTCATACCCAAAGACAACGGAGCAATGCTTAGTACATATCATTCCATTTCATAATTTTACACTCTTATTTCATGTCTTTTGAATCCACAGAAAACTTTGCTATTATATTAACTATTATACAGCAGGAATGTTTACACAACAGACACTAGTCTCAACGTTATACATGCATTTCAATACTGCCCCACCACCACCCTATGAGGTTAGTACTCCATCCCGCTTAACTAATGAAACCCAGACCAAAGTGATGTGCCCACTTCCAATATGCTTAAGAGTCATATAAGCAGTATATTACATATAACTTCTGCAACTCTTAGTGTAGTTTTCTGAATTGGAGGATATTACTCTTCTACAGTCATTGTTTTCAGACAGGGTCTTGTTCTTTATCCTCCAGTGGCTTTGAACTTTTGGTCCTCTTGCATCAGCACCCCACAACAGGATTACAGGTATGTACCCACACACCAAGTTTCATATTCTTTCCGAAGCACCAAACAAACAGCTTCTGCACGGTCCTGCTGATGGTAAATAGGATTCCGCCAGTCCCCCATCTAAACCGTGCTGCAGCGCGCTGACTCACACCCATCACTCTTCACATCAATCCTAGAAGGGACTCAATGGGTAAACTCACAATTTCTCAATACTTCCCAAGTAGCCTGGCAATCTGTCTTAATTTCCACTTACAAAGGAGTCTGAATCACAGTTGCTTCACCCATTTCACACTTGAGCTTTCAAAAAGTAACTTTTGTAAGAGATTGCTAGACAGCCCATATGGTTTCTTCTCTGCACATTGGTCTGACAATCTTCAGTTAGGATGGAACTGACCACACTGATCAGGTGAACAAGAGATCATCTGACACCCACGCCTCCAAGACGGTCTCAGCCCATCCGTCTCCCCATCCACAGCTTTGGCTCCTCAGGCAGTGGAAAGACCATGTCGACAGAGGTCTGTGCTACCCAGCAGTCGTGTACTTTTGAGTATGACTTTCATCTAGTGCTTGACTCAAGGCCTGTTTTAAAAGTATCCCCAACTTGTCTGGTCAAGGCTCACTTAAAATAAAGCTCCACCCCTGACTTGGCAGAACTAGATATCTTCAGAGAGGCAGTTGTAAAATAAAGACTTTCAGTGCTCATACTATTTTTCGAATGCTATTTCTTACGAGTAGTTTGCTTGCATGTATGTCTGTGAACCATGTGTGTGTCTGGTACATGCAGAAGTCAGGACAGAGCAGACACACCTTACTAGGCCACAGAGACACACTTTCCAGTCCCAGCAAGAGCTACACAGGGAGTCCTGGCTGTCAGTACTGGGCTACGAGGGGCCATGACATCTACAAGGCCCCAGAGGGCAGTGATCTCCAGCACCACTTGTTAACAGGTAGACTGAGGAGTCCCTGAGCTTTTAAAGGTTCCGCACCAAGAACCCCCAAAACAGACGGGACTAGACCTTTGCAAAGGTTTTCTCCAGTGCCTACAAGTTCTCTAGAAATGTAACCAGGAACTATGCCCCATCCCACACTGTCACCAGAGACCCCAGGCTAATTGACATGGTTTTTCATATGGCGAGCCAAATTGGAAGACCATCTGAAGGTCTTCCCACACACTTTGCATTTGAAGGGCCTCTCTCTGGTGTGAAATCTCCTGTGGCTAATGAGATGTGAATGTTTGCCAAATGTTTTCCCACAAATATTACATTTGTGGCAGCCCCTCTTAGTGGGTACATTCTGGAGTGCAATGAACCTAGAGCTCTTGTCAGAAGGGTTCTCACACTCTTTATGGGGCTTCTTTCCACTCAGTTTTAATTCCTGAATATTTAATCTTGCATTCTGACAGGAAGATAAGCCAGAATTATCTGAATGCAGGCTGCGTTCCAACTGCAGTACTCTGCTGTGTCTTCTCTGGTCAACAGAACGGACATGTATCCCAACGAGATCTTTATCGTGCCACTGAGACTGAAAAGGCCTCTCTGTAGCATGGATCCTCTGATGATTAACAAGACGATAGTTTCTATCAAAAGATTTTTCACACAGGTTGCACTTAAAGCGTTTCTCTCCACTGTGTATTCCCTTATGATCTAAAAGGCTTCTTTTACGTGTAAAGCTTTTCCCACATTCAAGACACCAAAAGAGCTTCTTACCAGTGAGGAGTTCTGATTCTGAATTTGAAGTCTCTTTACTTTCATGGTACTCATACTGCTGCTGCAAAGTGTGTTGCCTCTCGTGTCGGGAGAGGTTGGAGCTCCACCGGAAGGCTTTTCCACACTCACTGCACTTATAGGGCTTCTCTCTGGTGTGAATTCTCTGATGAACGACAAGGAATGAGTGAATTCGGAACATTTTGCCACAGGACTGGCATTCGTGAGGCTCTTCTGTATCGAGACTGCTCTGAGGGATGTGAGACGCTGTGCTCTGGCCAGCAGGTTGTCTTTGGGTAGCATGTTTCTTCATATGAATAATATAAGATGACCTATAGGTAAATGCTTTCCCACACTCACTACATTGGTATGGCTTCTCCCCTGTGTGAATCCTCTGGCGCTCAATGAGTGATTTCTTTTCAGTAAAAGTTTTCCCACAATGCTGAGACTGATTACTATTCTGCTTGGAGTCTTCTCGACCCTTCTCTTGCTTACAGAACTCTTGTTTCAGGTGCAATCTCTTATGACGAGAAAAGTTTGACTGCCACCGAAAGGTTTTCCTACATCTGTTACATTTATAAGGTTTCTCCTGTGTGTGGATCCTTTGGTGTTCAAGAACATAGGACTTACAGCTGAAGGATTTCCCACAATGCCTGCAGTCCAAGTGTTTCTCCTCACCCTTGTCTGGCAAATGATTGGGATCCACGCTGCTGGTGAGAGCTTCTTTGGACTGACTGGATTCAAATTTCTTTTTAGAATGGGTTTCCTGGTGTATACGGCAGGCTGACAGACGTTGGAATGTTTTCTCACATGTACCGCATTTGTAAGGCTTCACTCCAGAGTGAATTTTCTCATGCCGCACACAGTTTGAACGCCACTTGAAGGCTTTCTCACACACCCTGCATTTAAACAGTTTCTGTTCAAAATGGCACCTCCGATGGTCTTCAAGATGGGAGCGTTTACCAAAGGTCTTCCCACAGTCATGGCACCTATAGATCCTCACAGTATGAACACTACTCTGGTCCTGTTGGTGATGAGAACGAAGGATGAAGTTCTTCTTACCTGTGTCCTTTTCGTTCTCTTTTAGTCTCATATGAATACTCTGGTAGACACCAAATCTCTCAACTGTATCTCTGAGTCCACGTCTCCTGTTATAATGGCGTGATCTTTTTCTGAAGCGTCTATCACGGCCATGTTTAAAGGATTGCTTTTTCTTAGAAACACTCACACACTTAACGTGTTTTACATCAATAGTATCACTGCTGCCCAATACTTCAGAGTCTCTTCCTGTCTTGTTCCTGAGGTCAGTTCCTTCCTTCATCTCTTTCACTCGTATGGGGCTTCCACAGGGCTTCTGTAGCCCATTTTTCTCTTCAGAAGATTCTATGACCCCTGTTCCCTCAGAAACACTTGCCTCAGGACATACTGATGGCACAGTAAAGCTTTCTGTGTATTCTGTAGGGTCCTGCTTCAAGACGAACTTGTGTGACTTAATTTGGAGTTTACCTCCTGGAGGAAAAAACAAACAAAAAACCAAGAAAATGTATTTTCCCCCCATACTTACAACTAATGAAGATAACAAGAAGCTACAAAATACGGTTCTTGGTAGCAAGAATCTTGCCTGACTGTCATCACCTTTTTACAAGAGTCAAGATTATGACAAAGCCATGAAAATTATCTCAAAAAGCAGGAAAGGGGAGAAGAAGGGCCAGATATAGCGGGTACAGAGACACAGAAATCAAATCCAGGAGGACAGTTAAAAGAGCCAAGGAAGAATATTACTAGCAAGCCAGTAGAGAAAATCATGGCACAGGACCATTGCATGAAAGATCCCAAAGCTAAGATGTAAGGCTCCAAGAAGGGCCTGACCGAAAGAACTGGATATCAAGCTTGTCACAGAAAGAATCACACAGCGGACAAGATCCAGAATGGGATGGACGCTCCCAAGAATAGGATGGGTGAGCACAGGTAACGCACAAGTTGGTGCAGACACAGAAATAAGGAACATTATAACTGAGTGGAAAAGAGAACAGGGAAGCCCTGCAATGAGCAAGAACTAATACTGAGATGCTAGGAAAGGCTGGAAAGAGACAGCCTACCATAGGCCAAGCAAGAGGGAAGAAGCCCAGGGCCCTGACACCCGTTAGTAACGCCCAGCAGTTGCTGGAGTTTGTTCCCAGTGATGTATTTCATCATATGAAAGAAAAGAGTAAATTTAAGAGGAGCAGGACATGATGGATTTTACAGAACTCACCTTCAGGGGCAGTTCCTGAATCCGTCTTAGGCTGAGCTGTGCAGATATTCACGGCCAATGGCTTCCTTGCTTCCAACCAGGAAATCAGAGCAGGTTTGGGAGACGACCCCACTGCAGGAAAGAAGGGAATGCGATGGGAAGAAAGACAGGCCACACAGAACGGGAGGAGGGAAGGCCAGGAAAGCAAATGGAAGAAGCTAGGCAGGACGCCCGGCCAGTCAGTTTCTGATAGCTCTGAGGCGGTAGTTTTCAACCCTCCTAATGCTGTGGCCGCTAGTTCAGTTCCTCTGTTGTGGGAACCTTCAGTCAGAACATTATTGTCACTGCCACTTTTAACTATAATTTTGCTACCGTTGCAAAGCATGACGAAAATATTTTTGAAGACAGGTTTACCAAAGGTGTCACAACCCACAGGTTGAGAACTGCTGCCATAAATAGAGAAGAGAGGCTGAAAAAAATCACAGGCAAAGGGGCTTTAAGGACTCTCCAGAGGCAGGGACTGGAAAGACGCCTCATCCATTAAAGGGCACTAGCTGCTCATCCAGAGGATCTGGTTCAGTTCCCAGTATCCACGTGGTGGCTCACAACCATCTCTAACTCCAGTTCCAAGAGATCTGAAACACTCTTCTCACTTTCATGGGCACAATATGCAGGTGGTGTACAGACAAAACACCTGCACAGCCGGGCGGCGATGGCGCATGCCTTTAATCCCAGCACTCGGGAGGCAGAGGCAGGCGGATCTCTGTGAGTTCGAGGCCAGGCTTGACCGACAGCCTCCAAAACAATACAGAGAAACCCTGTCTCGTAAAAACAACAACAACAACAACAACAAAAAAAAACACCTGCACACATAAAATAAAAATAATAAACCAAACAACAAGTATTCTGCAAAGGTGAGAAGCACACAACGACTCAGCGGGCTAAGTCAGTTAACCAAGTTTAAATGCTGAAATCGGCCTCAGTCTTTCCAATTAGCCCACACGACAGACATCACAATCTCTATTGTTCAAGACGGATAGTTTAGTAATGGGTTAAGTAATAAGGCTGGTGGTTGCAGAGCCAGAATCTAAGGCTAGATCCACTTCTACATGTTATAATAAAAAACAAGGACCAGTGAAGGTGGCTCAGTGACTTAAGGCACCTGCTACCAAGCTCAGCCGCAGTGTGAGTCACAGGAACCACATGGTGGACAGAAACCACCCTCACTAGTTATCTGTGGCAGTCAAGCACCTATAAGCATGCACATCCATGCACATAAATGATTTTTTTTAATAATTAAAAAAAAAAGGCAAAAGTGGAGGTTGCTACGGATGCTGAAGACTCACCAACAGAAACCACATTCCTGTAATTCTCCAGCATAACATCCCGATAAAGATTGCGCTGAGCTGCGCCTAAGAGTCTCCACTCTTCCTGAGAGAAGATCACCTCCACATCCTGGAAAGTCAAAGCTTCCTGAAAAAGATAAAATAAAAACCATTACTTAGAGTTGATCATGGGCCTGACAGAGTTAATTAATACCAGATAAATCTGGCAAAGGTAAATGACTATCACCCAGCAGAAAGCTCTGGTGTCTGAATATGAAGTCAAATGACAACCCAGGATGAAGAAAGCTGCACTACCCATACAGCAGCAATGCTTGAAACACCAAGAAAGAGCCAAAGCCGACTCACCTAGAGCTGGGTTACCAAAGGCTTGCTGGTCGTTACCTGGTATCCTGTGCTCTCTTCTGTCTGGAAATGGGTAGGCAGTGAGACAGTAGGAGAATCTGAAGGAGAAAACAACCACAAGAGAGTTGTCCAGCTCTACACACCCAAGAAGCCCACTCTCCTCACTCCTAGAGGACTCCTGGACCCACAAGCAGACAGACTGCTATTTAAGATGCACAGACATGTCCTCAGTTTCTATTGGGAAGGGAAAAGGAAGAGTGTAGGGGCAACGGAAGAAGCCAACCAGACATGAATCAGAGAGGTGTTCAAGAGAACACAGTACTAGGTGACAAAAGATTCTTGTGAGACAATAGATGGTAGCAAAGCAACAGTACTGGAAACACAGGAGATGTAACATAAAGCTACTGTCTAGGCAGTGAGTACCATATGGTCCATGCAGGAAGTTACAAACTCCTATTTTATGTGGAGGCTCCAAATGGTCCTCTAGAGCAGAATTGTTCTTGCGCGGGGACCATATCTGTGCAGACTGCAGAGCTCCAGTGCCTATCCAATGCACATCAGGGTTCTGAGCAAGGCATGGGTCCTGCCAACAAGAAAACAGTATGAGAACATTCCCATAAGTTTCAGAAAGCAAACTCAGGCCCTTTCATCATTTCCTGGCAGAAGGGACCCAAAGAGAAAGACAAGAGAGAAACCTTTCACTCCATGGCCTCCCGCCATCATGGAGAGTCTGTAAGATTCCACTTATCATAAGGGTACACTTGGCAAGTTAGTAATAGAAATCCTCACATGCCACAGTGAAACCTTCCCGTTGTTTCCTACCCCTGGCCTACAGCTGAGAAACGAACGGGAGTAAAATGAGCAATGGTTTACAGTAGAGATCCAGAAATGTGCAATGGCCTAGCTTTCAAACTATAACCCTGACAAAACAGTTATCACCATCAGAAAGACAATGTTAATTTTGCAAGGAGGCCTTTGTCCTTGTACTTCAAGCTGCTCTGTCTCCGTGACAAGGCTTTCCTTAATGAAGAAGAGAGTACAGAAGGCTCCAGGTAATTAACTTAGAGCAGTCTTCCTGGCACTTTTTCTACACTGATGTGAACAAGCCTTAGACTGAGGCCACTGAACAGAGGACAAAGACTAAAACCGTACATGTAGCCCTAAATGAGCTAATCATAACCAAGCCATGCTCTCCTTACATCATTTTGTAAATTACTATCAGGTCCCTCTGAACATCCTATTGTTTTTGGTAAAAATGACAAATGCACTTTCTAATTTTTAAAAAGACAGAAATGTTTTGTTTTAATAAGCATTACTTATGATGATGTATTACACCATTTACTACTTGTAGACTATGATCAAATGTTACTTGATTTTTTGCAATAAGCTTGAGAAATTAACCAGAAACATTAGCAATTTTCAATGCATGAATTATGCATATAGGCTCATGTTTTATTTCAATAAAAATTGAAAGCCTAAAAAATTGTATTTTTTTAAAAAGCTCAAAAGGTGCCAGTGAAAGACCTCGAATTTATAGAAATAAAATATAAGCTTAAACAAGGAGGCCACCCCACTAAAGAACTCAGGAAGTGAACAAAGGGCCTCATTCCAGGAACTGGCCAAACCACAGAATGGAATGTATGGTTTAGCAACCTTAATTGCAGAAGGGCTATAAACCCACAAAAGGCCAAATTCTGGGCTGCTGACCACCTGTGAAGAACTGACCAGGGCGTCAGAGATGGGCAAACAAGATTCATGGGAAACAAGGAGATGATAACACCATTTACTTAGGGAGAGATGATTAACTCATACCAAGGTCTGAGGAATTTACAACGTGTAGGTCAGGAGGACATCTACTTCCCCTGGTCAGCGGTCACGTACCCCCCGTCACAAGATAGGGACCCCTCCCAAAGGCTTGTGGTTTTTGTCTTTAAAAGCTGATTGTAACTGAACCTCGGGGCCAATTGGTCTAAAAGCTGACTGAGAGGCCCATCTGCAGATGCCTAATTAAAGCCTCTTGCTTGTTGCATCAATTGGCGCATGGACTCTTGATTCTTGGGGTGATGAATCCAGCTTGGGGGCCCCTCCTCAATTCGAGGGACCCCCAACACTAGATGTGGTGACACACACCTTTAATCCCAGCAACAGCAAGGAGAACTACGGGAATTCGATGCCAACCTAATCTACAGAGTTCCAGGACAGCCAGGGATATGTAGACACCCTGCCTCAAAACCAGCCAAACAAACAAAATCTCAAAAGGCAAAGACCAGTTTCCTGAGTGCAAAAGGAATAAGAAGAAAACACACTTTGCTGGCAGGCCAGGGACACGGTCAGTTCTGCTTCCCTACACTAGGAATTAGCACAAAGCACATCACAAAGCCTTCAAACAGATACTGAACAAATCCTCATGATCAGATAATTTTTGTATTTCTTTCTCAATAAACTGAGGTTGTGAAAGATTGACTATGATGACTCCATTTTGGTATCTCAGATGAAATTTGTCTTACCAAGTGCCAGTATCAAAAAAATAAAAAACAAAACAAAACCAAAAAAACCCCAGGAGAAAAACAACTCAAGAACTTAAGTTCATATACTTAAAAGCTTAGTCACCACGGAGTGGCACTATCTGAAAGGACTAAAAGGAGAAGTACGGTACTGGGGGAGGGCTTTGAGGTTTCAAAAGCCCACCCCAGCTCAGCACCTGCCCTGCACGCCACCATGCTCCCCACCATGATGATAATGTTCTAAACCCCTGAAACTGTAAGCCAGGCCCCAGTTAAACCCTTTATAAGAGCTGCCTTGGTCACGATGTCTCTCCAACAGCAATAGAAGAGTGACTAGGCAGGTGCTTTGCAAACACCAGTGTGACTCTGCCATTTTTTTTTTTTTTGAGACAGGGTTTCTCTGTGGCTTTGGAGGCTGTCCTGGAACTCGCTTGGTAGTCCAGGCTAGTCTTGAACTCACAGAGATCCGCCTGCCTCTGCCTCCCGAGTGCTGGGATTAAAGGCGTGCGCCACCAACGCCTGGCTGTGACTCTGCCATTTTTGCTAGTCACACATTTTGATCTTCCCTGGGGGCTAGGAGGAGGGGTCCACAACAATATGTCTAAGAATATTAAGCTATATGACAAAGCTTAAACTTGAGGTCTTCCAATTTTCCAGCCCAGGGATGCCCCCAAAAGCCCTCTGAAAAGGAAACATATTACTACATGCAGACTTCTCTTTTGTGTTCTTCCATTCAGGTTTCAAGATTCCTGACTCTTTCAGTTTCTCCCTCTGCCCCTTCCATTCTACAAGGCTACGGTTAGTCTTAAACCAAATCAGCTCCTTCTGCACTGGCACGTCTGCCTGCATGCCGCCATGCTTCCCACCATGACCATGATAAACCCCTAAAAGCATAAGTCAGCCCCAATTAAGTGTTTTTCTTTATAGGAGTTGACACGGCCATGGTGTCTCTTCATAGCAACAGAAACCTTTCAAAGACAGATGCTGGTATCAGTATCTGAGAAAGGCAGGAATGTGGATTGGAGATTTTGGATTAGAAAAGGAGGTGGACGCTTTAAGTGGTATTTAATGGGCCATACTAGCAGAAGAATGGAAGACAGTGGTGGCCTGTGTAAAGATGTTTCAGAGGAAAATAATTCGTGTGTGGCCTCAGGGGACGGAAGCGGAAAGAAAGGAGCTTGAGGTGTGGCTTTCCTTGGTGCACTCTTTCGGTTGGGTCAGCAGATCTGGTAGGAGTCAGTGGATCTGGTAGGAAGAGCAGGGAAACGCTCTGGCAGTTCTTTGTATTTTTCTGTGTTATTGTCCCCAATAAAGACCCATTTATCATCTAGTGATATGATTACATCCTTGCCTTCAATTGTTCTTGTGATATTTTACCAAAGAATGTGGCGAGTTTTTGCCCTTGCCCAAAAAGTTTGCCTGAGGCTAAAGTGAAGAGTTTTGGATTAATTCAGGTATCGGAGGAATCTCAAAACAACCTAGTATTGACTCTGTCCTGTGGTTATTATTTTTTTGTTTTTGTTTTTGATTTTTTACGAGACAGGGTTTCTCTGTATTGTTTTGGAGGCTGTCGGTCCAGACCGGCCTCGAACTCACAGAGATTCGCCTGCCTCTGCCTCCCGAGTGCTGGGATTAAAGGCATGCGCCACCACCGCCTGGCTGTCCTGTGGTTATTAGTGTTCACTCTTATGAAGATCTATAATGAAAAGGAGCAAGCTGAGCAAGGGAAAATACAAAACGTACAGTTCACGAAGAAAGGGGACACCAGGAAGAGGAGCTAAATCCTGTATTCAAAGAGATAAACAGCCGGGCGGTGGTGGTACACACCTTTAATCCTAGCACTAGGGAGGCAGAGGCGGGCAGATCTCTGAGTTTGAGGCCAACCTGGTCTACGGATCAAGTTTCGTGACAGCCAAGCTTAAGCAGTGAAGAAAACCATGGAGAACAGAAAGCTGATGAAGATGTAATTGAATGAGGGAGCCATGTTCCATCCCCAGTAAGCAACAGAACTTGGCAGCTTCGGCCACATGGTTCTGGGTTTAAAGTCAAGGATACAAGGGGTTATGGAATCGTCATCTATAACTAAGGAAAACTACTGAGGCCAGGCATGTGTCAAGGGTATCCCTGAATGGAGGTCTAAAAAGGCCATTATATGAAGCTGTTAGGGTGAAGCCTGGATCACCTTGGGGACCTCAAGATGTTGGAGATGCCAGAGTCATGGAATACACACAAGCAGTTAGCTGGGAGTGGAACCAGCCCAAGAAAGAAGTGTGTTGCAGTCAACAAAGCTGAAAGGAGTTGTAGATTTGAAGAGTGTTTTGACATCAGACATTGAAAGGCAGTTTGGAGTTTGCCCAATTGGTTTGGTCCAGTATTACCTCACTACGCTCCCTTTTAGAATTACAATGTATATCCTGGTGCCATTATGTTAAAAGTATGTGATGTTTTTTGATTTTTTGGGGACTACAGTTAAGAGACTGCAAGAGTCTCAGAAGAGACTTTGAACTTGTACACAAGTTTGAAATTGTCAAAGACTATAGGGACTTTTGAAGTGGACTAAATGCATTCTGTATTGTGATACGGCTACAAGCCTATGGCAGCCAGGGAATGTTACGTGGTGGTCTGAATAAGAACAGCCCCCATAGGCCCATAGGGAGTGGAACTATTAGGAGATGTAGCATTATTGGAATAGAAATGGCACTGTTGGAGGAAGTACGTCATTGTCACTTTCCTGATGCCTATGGATTCAGACGTAGAACTCTCAGCTCCTTCGGCAGCACTGTGTCTGCCTGCACAACACCATGCTCTGCCATGGCCATGATAATAGACTAAACCTCTGAAACTGTAAGCCAGCCCCAAATAAATGTTTTTCTTTGTTAAGTGTTGACATGGCTCAAGGTGTCTCTTCACAGCAACAGAAACCCTAACTAAGACAACCGTGGAGCTGGACTTTCTATAATATAAACCACTGTATCCATAAGCTAATTTCATGATTTTTGTCTGTTTTCAAGATAGGGTTTCTCTGCGTAACAGCCCTGGCTATCCTGGAATTCGCTCTGTAGACCAGGCTGGTCTCAAACTCACAGACATCCACCTGCCTCTGCCTCCTGCATGCTGGGATTAAAGGCATGCACCACCACTGCCCAGCTCCTTAAGGTAATTTTATGATTTATTAATACCTGCTGATCCTATCCTAGACGTGTTATTCCTGTGTAAAGCGGAAAGAGCTCCTTGCTAAATGGTTCATGATCAGAGTCCGGTTCTCAAATACTCAGGTGTTAAGAAAACTAACAAGGGGAGGTTTTCCTACATTTCTCAAGCTCACATTTCTCATCTCTGAAAGGGCAGGCAGAGCTCACGTGCATCACCTACCTTCAGTGGTATTCCATGATGATCCCTCTGCAACTCTTCCAGCAGAGCCACAACCTCTGCACCACTCTCAGGGCAATGGAGCTGCACCCATGTCCGGAGTTCTCCAGGCAGGATGCTCAGGAACTGCTCCAGTACCAGCAGCTCCAGCATCTGTGCTTTGGAAAGAACGTCAGGCCTCATCCACCAGCGGCAGAGCTCCTGGAGCCGGCTCAGAGTTTCTAGGGGCCCAGAAGACTCATGGTAGCGAAGCTGCCTAAAGAGCTGACGGAATAGCTCCTGGCCAGGGCGGTTAAGTGTCTGTGGCCTGGAAGTCCGCACCAAAGTATAGGCATCATCCTCCTCTTCCTTCTTTACCGTACGAAGGTGTGCTTGTTTCCTTGAAGCCTGAGCTGAGCGGGCAGCATAACACCTGCCTGGAGGCATCACTCTTGTCCAGGGTCACCCAGATAAACACAAAACAAGTCTGCTGCTTTGACTGAATCACTGCTGTATCCCTGGGAGTATCTTCTCAGCACAGCAGTGCACAATGCTATTTGCTAGGTCATCAGAAGTCACTGGTAAGAGATTGAAATAACCAACATTCCTGTTCAGAATAAAACAGATAAAGAGAATGGTGCCCACCACACATGATGCAGCTAGGTCCTATAGGTGGGGATCATCTGTGAGACATCACTTCTCACGTGTGAGAAGACATGTGCATGAGTACTGTCTGAGACACAGACTGAGACTAGGGTGGAAAGCTAATAAAGTATCCCTGAATACAGTTAAGATGCATAAGGCTAGAAAACGCAAGCAGCTGATGAAAAAGAACATCTAAGTAAGTAGACAGACACACCATACCCATATTCCTGTATTGGGAGACATGGCATGAAAAGCTATCAATTCTCACATTGATATTTAGTTCAATTTGTAGCAAAATCTCAGGAAGATGGAAGGGAGAGGAGGTGAGGCTGTGACTCAATGGTAGCAATTGTCCCTGGATTTAGTCCCCAGAACCACTGGGAGAAAGAAAAGAAAGATGTTTGGCAGAAGAGATGTCATAATGATACTACAATTTATACTGAAAGGCAAAGGGATTAGATTAGCTAAAAAAAATTACCTGAATTCATTGTTTTTATTTTATGTCTGGGTGCTTATGTATGAAGAGGCTGGAGGACTACTTACAGGAGTCCATACTCTCTATCATATAGGTTTCAAGGACCAAACTCAGGTGCCTTTACCCACTAAGTCATCTCCTCAGCCCAGTCTACTTGATTTCAAGATTTATAGCTTCAGGAAGAAAGTCATTGTGGTATTGAAACAAACGTATAGATTAAGGGAAAGTAAGCATATATGGAAATATAACAGACCAACAGCCAAAAAAAAAAAAAGCTTGAGAATTCACATACTATAGTTTGAATCTTTACTTTCTCCCTTCTTCCTATTTTTGAGACAGCATTTTGCTATATGGCTTAACTGGCTTCAGCCTCAAATTCATGATTCTCCTGCCTCAGCTACCCAAGTATACAGTTTGGATTTGTTTTTGGTTTTGGAGGCTGTTTGTATAACAGCCCTAACTGTCCTGGAACTAGCTCTGTAGACCAGAGATCTGCCTGCCTCTACCTCCCGCTCACTGGGACTAAAGGCTTGAGCCACCAGTGCCTGGCCTCAGTTTGGACTATTAATGTCCTCCACAGGCCTATATACTGAAGGCTTGGTCCTAACCTATAATGCTACTGGAAGACAAAATTTGTAGAAAGTAGAGCCTTCATGGACTATTTTAGTTACATGTTTAAAATTATTTGCATAATATTGATATTGATGTAACAATATTAAGTGGTAAAATTATACAGGACTGGAGAAATTGCTATGAAATTATGAGGACTGAGGTTCTGATCCGAGCACCTATATAACAAGTCAAGTGTCATGCAAATTGCCTATTAACTCCAGCTCTAAGGGACTGCTCTTCTTTTGGATTCTGTATGTACATGTAAGCATGAATAACCACACATACACATTTGCATACCCTCACACACACAAATAAATCTAGAATAAGATGGTGACAACCTGGGTTCTAATATCCAATAAATAGGAACCGGGGCCCTGAAGCAATTGATGTCAAGCTGGACACAGAAAATACAAGTGTTTTGCAATATGAGAAATCAGCAAACAACAAAGCTATGTACTTAAGCAGAGCAGGAGCAGGTAGTCCAGCAGGTAAGAGTACTTGCCACACCAGCAGCCTGAGTTCCACCCCAGAACCCACATAAAGGTGGGGGAACTAACTTCACACCCATAAAAACACGTCAGACACACACACACACACACACACACACACACAGAGCAAATTAAATTTTAAGACAAAAGATAATTTAAGCAGGCCAGGCATGACAAGGAATGTCTATTATCCCAGCACTTGGGAAGTGGAGGAATCAGGGGCAGCTTGGGCTGACTACATAAGACCCTGTCTCAAACAAACCAAGAATGAAGTGGGGTCAGAGGTGCGCACTGACATAACTGGCCAAACGTTAAAACGCAAGGACAGACAAGTCACATCGTGGCACCCCTGCCTTTAGCCCCATCATTTAGGAGACGGGGGCAGGCAAATCTCTGTGACAACAGAGCAGGTTCCAGGCCAGCCAGGGATAGGTGAGACTCTCTCAAAAGCAATGAAGCAAGGAGAGGGCAATCTTCCTCACAGTAAGAAATGTACAAGAAAATGAGAGAAACACAATACTCATCAATATAGGCACAATGCTAACCGAGAAGTGAATGGTTTGGTTTGTTTACTTTTTTGTTGTTGTTGAGACAGGGTTTCTTTGTGTAGTCCTGGGTGAAATTTGACAAATGTCAGTAACAAGGACACATCAGCCTTACCTAAGAACAAGAAAACATCAGATACAAGAATATTCTAAAATTGCAAATAATGAAATACTTCAAAAAAGTCAAGACCTTGGGGGCTGGAGAGACGGCTCCGTGGTTAAGGTCACTGGCTGCTCCTTCCAGAGGACCCTAGTTCAAATCCTTGCACCCACCTGGGAGCTCACCACTGTCTGTAACTACAGTCCTAGGGGATCAGACACCCTCTTCTAGCTTCCACAGGCACCAGGCACACACATGGTGGTTAGACACACATGCAGACAAAACACTTACACACTAAAATAAATTTAAAAATTGTTTTTTCATCAAGGTCTTAATGGTACGGCTGTTAGGATAAAGCGCATGGGGATCCTTTGTGGATCCCACGGCAGGCGAGGGTGACCAAGGCAGGTGACACACACACGCCAGGCAGACAGAGCTTAGTGAGTTTTATTAGAAAGGGGAGGGGCGGGAGGAAAGAGAAAAGAGGTAAAGAGACAAGGAGAGAGGACAGAAGAGAAGAGGGAGGCAGGAAAAGTCCTGTCTGCCCCAGGGGAACGGCGGGAAAGCGAGATTTTAAAGGAACCCTGGGCTGGCCAGGGTACCGCCTGAGTGCATTCCGCCAGGTGACTGGGCAGGCCAGCGCAATGCCTGAGTCCTTACACATGGTTATCCGCTTGCTAGTGGGCCTACCGCGTAAGGTTTAGTGTCAGGACGGCAGCCCAGCTGAACCTTCGTTGGACCCCAGGAACCAACACAGCAGCGAGGGGTGCCCCAGTCATTGTGACCCCCACACACTCCCTGCCGCATGCATGCATGCAAACACACACACACCTTTAATCCCAGCACTCAGGAAGCAAAAAACAGGAGGATTTCTAGGAGTCCGAGGCCAGTGGGTCTATCACAGCCAGATCCTCCACCCGAGAGAGGCAGTGTAGGTAGCGCCTCCGGAAGCCGAAGACCCACCCCAACTGCATTACACCAGGGGCAGAACCGGAGGCAGAAGTTTCAGAGTTTCTACAACACAGGTCTCCAAAGCTTAGCTGAGATTAGAACAATGACTTCCTGGCGCTGGACGTCTGTCTGGTTGGGAACGAAACTCAGCCCGGTTGGAGAGCAGTTAAGTGGAAACTCACAAAATGGAGTCAAGCTAGAAGCAAAATGGGGTTCCCCCGTCAGTTCGTTTCCATCGTTTGTCCCTCTCCCTCTCCAGCAACTCCGATGCCACGAAATGCTTCAAAAAAAAAAAAAACCTAATCATTAACAGATACCAGAAGCCACAGAAAATTCGGGGTTGGGGCTGTGAGCACTTCTTCCCTCCCACCCCACCCCACCCCAAAGGACGTATCAAAGCGTAATTTCAGAACGCGTCCTTCCGTCTTCTAGAACATTATCTCTTCTTTTTAACTATTGTTATTAGTTTTAACTTTTAAAGGGAGGGGTCGTTAAGCTGCCCAGGTTCCCGGTCTTAATGCCCTCGGCTCCCTCAGAGGCGGGGATATCTGTGGCCTGAGCCACCAGACCAAGCTGCCGAGCACTCTCTATCTCAGGCGCCGTTTTGTGTTTTGTGATTTTTTTTTTTGCTGTTGTTGTTGTTGTTTTGTTTTGTTTTTAAACCAACCCGCACGATTAACCGCGGGGCCGACGGGCTGAGTTTTCCATTAAGAAGTCAGGACGCCAAGAGTCACAATGGCGGAGGCGGGGCTTGAGGGTCTCTCGGGGAAACGGAGGCTGCTGCTGCCGGGGCAGCACCGCTCCAAACGGCCCCGAGGTCCCGAGAACCCACCTGGGGCGGCGGCATCGCCTTCGGGCCCGGGACACCGCCAACCGTGCCCCGCCGCCGCCCGTTGGTGCACCCGCTCTCCCGGCCGCTTACCAACGGACGCCGGAACCTTCACGTTACTCCCCGGATGGCGGTGGTGCCCGGCTGGGTGCACTTCTGGGTCCACTTCGCCGTGGCCTCTCTAGGGCGGCGGAAGTGTGCCTTCTGGGGCGGGGAGACGACTCTCTAGGAAAGCCGGAGGAATGCCATCTCAGCTGCTCTCTGCCCAGATCCGCCCCGGGCTGCCTTGGTGGCTCGGCTCGCGGTCCTTGCTTAGGCTGGGGGTGAGTGTGGGGGTTGTGTGTTAGCTTGCATTCCGCGTCCCGCCCCCTGCCTGCAGATAAGAGCTTTATCTGGAAGAGGAAGTGCGTGCTGGAGGCGCGGTTAAGGAGGGAGCTGTCTCTTCCTGTGTGTGTTGAGTAAATCTTCTCAGTCTGGCAAACCCTTGGCGGAAACTCAAGGACTCTGTTAGAGCACGGGCGAACCTGGGTCTGGCTGGCCTTGCCCTCCCCTCTCTCTCTCTCTCCCTCTCTCCCTCGCTGAACCGATAGATTCCCTTGTTGAGGGACATCCACGTGCCTGAAGCTAGCCAACGAGGTAGGTTCCCTTACGTGACCGCTTTCTAATGTGGGACTCATCCCTGAAGGTGATTGCCTAGGTCTAACGATCTGCATCAAGGTCCAGCAATCAAAATTCCCCACCGGAACTTACCAACCCATCCTAGCTCATTCTAACGCAAGCCTCTCCTGGGTAACCTTTTAAAAACCACTCCTGCAAATCTACTTGCTGCTTGTTTCTGCTCCTCCAGTCAGATTCTGCCACCTTGTCTCTGCCTGGCTTAATAAAAGATCTTTGTGTGTTGGAAATTGGTGTTTGGGTGGGGTCTGTGCCTAACCTGGAGTCCAGAGGGGAGCAAATCCCTTCAGAACCCCCCACACACACCCCCAAGAATAACTGTCAGCTCAGACAGTTCTTATATGAAATTGCAGAGGCGGAACTAAGGTCACAAATGGTTCAACTGAACACCCTGGTCGTGTTGCAGGAATTTCTGGGAAACTGAGTCACCGAGCCCTATAGCTGGATAGAGGCACTTGGATCACTCTGTGACGGGGTCGTCCCTGGCCTTGAAAGACCCCAACCCAGGGCCCCCAAGGAAAAGAAAAACAAGGCCAGGCTGTTGCCTAATGGAAAAACCCAAACCAGGTGCCTCGCCCAGCTGGCACCTCAAACAGGATGTCTGCGGTCACCAGAGCAGTCATGGGACCCGGATAATTACTGAAGCGTGCCATATTTACATCTTGTGGTGATACCAGGCAACTACCCCTGCCCCCAAAATGATCTTAGCCTGCGCTTAAGTAGCCAATGAAATGCCTGTTGCTATGCTGATACTTATGTAACCATTAAGACTCTATAAATATGTGCTCCCTGCAAGCCCCTTATGCTCTGCACCCGTGTTGCAGTAACATCCGCCGGCGCCTGTGTACTCAATAAACCACCTCTTGCTTTTGCATCCAGTGGTCTGGCTCCAGTTCTTGGGCAGAGGGTTCGGTTTGGTGCCTGGCGCTTCGGTGCCGGGGTCTTTCAGCCTCTGCTTCCAGTTCCATGAGTATTCAGTTAAAGCAAGCTATAATTGTAGGGAAAAGGGACCAGTCAAAGAAACACACCCTGAGCAGAGCCAAAGAAACACACTTTGGCCCTGCAACCACAACCAAAGAAATGTATCCTGACCCTAAAACCAGTGCCAAAGGAACACACTTTGTCCCTGGAATCAGAGTCAGTGAAAGAAATACACCCTGGCCCTAAAATAGGAGCCAAAAGGCTAAAAAGGACCAGAGAAAGAAACACACTTTGGCCCTGAAACCAGAGCCAAATCTGACCCTAATCCTGTAAAAATGTAACCAATCCCGGAGCAGAGCTCTAGCCAATCTGAGCTCAGCACTGAAATTGGACCAATCCCTACTCTGGAAAAAACTTCCCCAACCCCAGAAATCCCTATATAAACCCTGTGTATGTTCAGCTTGGCTGGTCCAGCTGTCTTCCAATAAACCCCTTTGGACGAGCTTCTGGTGAAGATCTTCTTTTGCGGCGGCGACAGAGCAGAGGCGACCCTGGGCAGAGCAGAGCAGAGCAGAGCAGAGCAGCAGCGCTGTAACACTTGCCCGGGAAACCTTCCTTGGCAGAGCAGAGCTGTTACACTCTGCTCCTGGCTCCCTGCTCTCCACAGAGCAGCAGCGCTGTAACACTTGCCCGGGAAACCTTCCTTGGCAGAGCAGAGCTGTTACACTCTGCTCCTGGCTCCCTGCTCTCCGCTCTAAGCTCTCCAGGAGCAGAGCTGAACTGTAGCAACTTTGCCGGAGAAACCTCCTGCCTAGCAAAACTGCTACACTAGGCGAACATCCCCAGCTGGAAGACCCTGTCCTGCCGGAGCGGAGCTGATACAACGGAGAAGCCTTTCTCTGAGGCAAGGCTGTAAGCTGCCAAGCTTACTGCAACCTGTGGTGGTCCTTGGCTCCTGAGCTCCAGGATACCTTTCCACCTGAGCTGTGTAACACTCAGTATTCTGTGACTCCCGAGTGCCAGAATACCTGACCCACTCCTGTTCCATCCTGTTCTGACCCATCCCGAAACGCTTACAATAATACTGGGAAGATGGACCCTGGCCAGCCAGATCCATTCGCGTAGACTGGCTGTGAGCTCCATTAGCCAGGTATCTAGAAAAGCCAAACCCAGAAGGGTATATCATACTTTGCACCTTTGTCCGTTGGGGGTGGGCATAGATCCTGACGTTTTTCCTGCCCACACATCGTTGTAATAATGCACATCCTACACAGTTGGGGTCACCACCCTTGTTTATTGAAGCAAAAGCAGTCCGAAGCGTTCCAGGAAGTTATCTGTCCTTTTGGGACAGATTGGAGCTTACAGGTTGGCTATAGCCCTTACACTCAGGTTACGAGGGGAAAGACAGAATGCTGTACATAACAAAAGGGTTGGGCAGGGTTAAAATTCAGCTACCCCACCTATGCAGCGTCTCGAGTTTCTGGATAGTGCCAGTGGGCAGGGGATCGGGCAAACAGAACTGTTGTCAACGCTGGACAACTTTCTTAGCTTTAACGTGGCAGTTTGGGTGGGTGGGTGGGTGGGGGTTCCACATTCCCTCCTCTTCCAATCCCTTACGACCCTTCTAAAGGAACCCTGTGATGCTGGTGGCAGACCTGGAGTCTAATAACTAATATCCAAGTGAACTAGAAGATTTATAAGGCATGGCCCAAACAGGAGAATCATAACCGAAAGCACCACTTGGGGTGGGGATAGGAGCAAACCTGTTATGCCTGTATCATGAACTCCCAGAGACCAGAAGAGAAGCAAAGAGCCTTTATTGCTAGCTCAAGTTTTGTTGTTGGCAAAGTTGGGCTTTCCTTGCTGATACTCTGTACCGTAGGTCTCCCAGAATTTGTAACAGGTTCATTGTGCCTTTTAGGCATTTTTCTCAGTCAGCTGCCTCCATCAGCAAGTCATCTACATATTGCAACAGACTGATGTCTTGGATTTGGGTTCTGTACTCACCCAGATCTTCATGTAATGCCTCATAAAAGATGGTAGAGGAGTTTTTAAAACTTCAGGGAGTTGAGTCTAGGTGGCACTTGGGAGTCACAGAATACTGAGTGTTACATAGCTCAGATGGAAAGGTATCCTGGAGCTCAGGAGCCAAGGACCACCACAGGCTGCAGTAAGCATACAGCTTACAGTACTGCCTCAGGAAAAGGCTTCCCCAGTGTATCGGCTCTGCTCGAACAGGAGAGGGTCTTCCAGCTAGGTTTGCCCAGTGTAGCAGTTGGAGAAGGTTTCCAGAGTGAAGTTGCTACAGTTCAGCTCTGCTGCCAGGAGTGGAGAGCCAAGTGTAACAACTCTGCTCTGCCAGGGTAAGGTTTCCCAGGCAAAAGTGTTACACCCTGCTCACTCTGCTCTGCTCTGCCAAGGGTCATCTCTGTTCCGCTGAAGCTCATAAAGGGTGTTTATTGGATGGGAAGAATCCAGGAAAGTAGCTGCCTCTACCAGAATGGCAGAGGACAGCCGGGTAGCACCAACAACCTCAAGAGGAACAGACAAGGGTTTATATAGGGCTTCCAGGGTGGGGATTTGTCAGATTTCAATGCTGAGCTCAGATTAGCTAGAGCTCCTGCTGGAGGATTGATTAGTTTTCTGCACAGGGTTAGGGTCAGAGTTGGCTCTGGTTTTAGGGATAAAGTGTGTTTCTTTCTCTGGTCCTTTTTAGCCTTTTGGCTCTAGTTTTAGGGCCAGGATGCATTTCTCTCACTTTTTTGTTTTGTTTTGTTTTTACGAGACAGGGTTTCTCTGTATTGTTTCAGAGGCTATCGGTCCAGCCCGGCCTCGAACTCACAGAGATCCGCCTGCCTCTGCCTCCCGAGTGCTGGGATTAAAGGCATGCGCCACCACCGCCTGGCTTTCTTTCACTGACTCTGATACCAGGGACAACGTGTGTTTCTTTGGCATTGGTTTCAGGGTCAGGATACATTTCTTTGGTTCTGGTTGTAGGGCCAAAGTGTGTTTCTTTGGCTCTGCTCAGGGTGTATTTCTTTTGTTGGTCCCTTTTCCCAATCCCCACCCTGGAAGCCCTATATAAACCCTGTGTCTGTTCGCGCTACCAGGCTGTCCTCTGCCACTCTGGCAGAGGGCAACCACTCTCCTGGATTCTTCCCTCCCAATAAACCCCTTGGATGAGCTTTGGGTGAAGATCTCCTTTTGCGGCATCGACCCTGAACAGAGCAGAGCAAGCAGGGCTGTAACACTTTTGATGGGGAAACCTTCCCTTGGCAGATCAGAGTTGTTACACTCAGCTCTCAGCTCTCCCGAGAAACCTCCTGCTGAGCAAAACTAGTACACTGGGTGAAAATGCCCAGCTGGAAGACCCTGTCCTGCCAGAGCGGAGCTGATACACTGGGGAAGCCTTTCCCTGAGGCAAGGCTGTAAGCTACTAAGCTTACTACAACCTGTGGTGGTCCTTGGCTCCTGAGCTCCAGGATACCTTTCCACCAGAGCTGTAACACTCAGTATTCTGTGACTCCATAGTGCCGGAATACCCATCCCATCCCGATCCAGCCCGAAATGCCAATAGGGTGTAATACCTTTCTTTGCTTCATGGAGCACAGGGTATTGGCAGACCCAGTTAAGGTCTTGATTTCAACGTAAATTGGAGGCTGGTGTCATGCTTGCCCCATGCTGACCCCCATCTCTGCCCATGCTAGTGGGTATTTCTGAAGCCAGTCCTTTATATTAGGTTTGGGCATTATTGGTTATTGGTGGATTCTATATTCCTCGGCCAAGTTACTTGTGACCAAGGACTTGAACTGGCCTCCCATCTTGATGGAGTAGAGTGACCCTTTTATCAGAAAATGATCTGAGCTTTCGTTTTAATAAACAGGTCTCAACCCAAGAAGGGATAGGGAAATTCTGAAACGAAAGGGTTACCCATCCTGTTCCTAAGTGTACTGTTCTTCAGGGAGTCTGTGAATAGGGTTTTGTCCCTGTAGCTCCTTGGACACAGGTGGTTTTGGCAGGCATGGGTCCTCCTGGTTTTAGTAGGACTGAGTTTTCCACTCCTGTGTCTACCACGAAGTCACCTGCTTTCCCCTCTACTTTTAGGGTTACCATGGGCTCAGGAAGGGGACCCGAGCCCCATCACTCTCAGTCACTGTCCCCAATGTATGCCGGTAGGACCTGGGCATTTTGGGGGTGTCTGTTCCTTTGCAGACAGTCCTTGACCCAATCTCCTTCCTCTTTGCAGTATGTACATTGGTTTTTCCCTACCTTTGGTTTAGGCTTCGGTTCCTCTTCTGTGGTTTGTCATGGAGTTTGGTGTTACGGGGAGGTTGAGCGGCCAGGAGAATCTTCTCTAGCCTGTTCTGCTGTTATTCTAGAATTTTGGCATGGACTCTATCCCATCTTCTTTCTCTTATTTCTTCTTTTTGTTCTGGTATTTCTCTCTTATTATATACCTTTCCCGCCACTGCCGCTAGGTTCCCTAATGTTCTTTTCTCCTAGTCTGCCTAACGATTGTAACTTTTTCTTGATGTCAGGCACTGCCTGGTTTATATAGGCGAACATAACTGTGTGTGTTGTCCTTTCAGCTTTGGGATCATAAGGAAGTATATCTGTGGAAGGCTTCCTGGGGTCTCTCTAAATAAGCTGCTGGACTCTCATCAGGTCCCTGCCTGAGATCATACACCTTAGACATGTTAGCCGGTTTCCAAGCCACCACTTTGAGACCTGCTAACAGAGTCTGGCGATAGACTAGGAGCCTCTCCTTACCTTGTGCCATGTTATAGACCCAATCTGGACGACTGGAGGGAAAGTTGGCTTTGGCGACAGCAGGGGTCAATGGAAGGTTCCCTGGTGGGCACCAAACTGATTTCCAGGATTCTTCCAGGATTCTGTTCCATTCCTCAGCAGTAAATAAGACTTTGAGGAGTTGTTGGCGATCGTCCCAAGTGG